ATTATTTATTATGCATACATGTATTTTGCCATGTTGAAGCATTGCCAAGATTTATAGTCAAATATAAAACTTTATTACGTTCAAATATATGGGTCGTTTCAAACTTTCCATCACACTCTTTGGACACTTGTAATCGAAATATGTAAAATTTATGAATTCCTCAACAGTAACAGCTTTTTGGCAATTTTTCTATCAACATATTTTAGGACATTTTCTTTGAACCAAAAAAAAAGACAACAAATGACTAGACACATCTTATCAATGTTTCATAATTTATTTCAATTCCATCAATATTTATGTAAAAACTGTTAACAATCTTTGCAGTTCAAGTTAAATTGTATTTGTAAATTACAACATACATGTACCATAGTTCTGATTTCACTGGCAGTGGCAAGTACCGGTATTAGAAAAAGTACCCGGTAATAAGCTACTTGTAAATAAATGTCATTGACAAAATGGTAGTACGGTAATATATTTTACGTAATGAATGAAATCAAATTAAACAGAGAAGAATATAATTTATTTGGCAGTTTGGGTATGAATTTGTTGTTAGGTTTCTCTTTGAAATTTGTATTGTTCTAAACTGATGCTATATGCAGACCATGAGCAGTGTTGCTAGTACTACCTAGTATTAGTATTAACAAAGTTTTGAACAGCAATATATTTTTCGGGGAAGTGGAAAATAAACTAAAAGCAACAATATTGATGATTTGATTGGAAGGAGTTTGCACAGTTGATGAAACTCAATAAGACATGTTGAATATAATAAGGTAAAATATGATGAAGGAGAGTGGAAGAGTAGGAGAAAACAACAGGGGAAGAAAAAGAGATTTTTAAGAGGAGACATGAGAACAAAAAACGTGTGTGATGAGAGAGAGAGAGAGAGAGAGATAGATAATAGAGAAAAAAAGGTAGAGTTAAATGAGTGACATGAATATACAAACAGGTGGTAACTTAAACAAGATGCAAGAAATTACATAACTTGGGCTTAACAAAACTCGTCTTGATGACGTGCTGAAAAAAAAAAAAAAACACATGGAAAATTGCAATTAGTGTTTTCAATTTCACCAACAGCATAAATATAAATTAATTGCGCAGAAAAATCACACCCGAACAGTCTCATAGAGGTCCCAAATAAATTTTTTGCCAAAAATAATCAAGAAATAGCAAATTTGAATGCCTTTTGAATCAGCAAAATGGCTGGCGCTAGTCTTTTTCAAGGAAATCTTGTTAAAAACCAATAAAACTAATTAGCGAATTAAATTAATTGCGCAGAAAAATCACACCTGAACAGTCTCATAGAGGTCTGAAATAAACATTTTGCAAAAAAGAATCAAGAAATAGCAACTTTGAATCAGCAAAATGGACTATTTACCATAGTTGGCGCTAGTCTTTTTCAAGGAAATCTTGTTAAAATCCAATTAAACTAATTAGCATATTATCTCATCAACGGGTGTACGAAATTTGGAGAACAAAGGTGTTTTCTCATCAGCAACTTCATCACAATCATTTGGTATAGTTAGTTTTCTCTGCCAAAGATGGGACTACGAAACTTTTTTTTTAGATGGTTAACTGGCCCTTGCCCCACAGTCTATATTAACCTTTTGTATTTCTTTATTCATATTATGGACAAGAGTATCTAGTTTCTTCTCGCTTAAAGAGACATTAGTGTCGTCTGCAAAAATAATGTATGACAAAGTTGAGGAAACATTTGGCAAATCATTTATATATAGAATAAACAACAGTGGCCCAATTATTGACCCTTGGGGCACTCCGCATATAACTTCTTTTTCAAATGAAGTTGCATTGTTATAAACAATGTGATAGTGCAGTTGATGTAACATTGGCGGCTTTCTGCTGAGTATCAAGGCTGTTTATTGACGTTCTCCCAGACTATATATACCGCAATAGTGATCGACGATCAACTCTTTGCAAAGCGCGCGCTTCTCTGGAATGTGATGGTGCGGTTAGCATTAGATGTAACATGGGCGGCTTTCTGCTTTGTATCAAGGTATCAAAGTATCAAGCCCACAAGAAAGTGAAATTGTTGGAAATATGCATTTGTAGGAAATTACATTTTATAGTAGTCATTGCCACGTTTTAAAATGTCCATCAATCTTCAAAAGGGATGGTGAAGTGGGGGCGGAGGGGGGAGGGGGGAGGGGGTGGAGGACTCACAGCATGATAACTTATCCTCTTTTGTGGGTGGGCTGTGATGACTTTTCTTTTTATTTAATGATTACACCATCGAGCCACAACTCGGTCTATAAATATTCATGGCCAAACTACTTGATTTTAGACATTCTTTTGACCCAGAAATTTGCTCAGTGTACCAGTATCACTTGCTTAATAGACAAAGGCATATTAGGGGAAGCAGCCAGGTCACTATGCCCCCAAAAGAAGGATACACCCCCCCCCTCGGCAATAATCGGGCAAAAAGTCCCAATTTAGGGCAGACAGGTAAATAAAAGTTACAGAAAGAAGAAAATAAAGCAGCACTGAAATTAATGACTGCAGAGCATCCTTCGTTTTATCTTTTCGATAAGCCCAATATACCAACATTACCAATATTCAACCTGTAACATGTTTTTTTTTTATATATTTTACCTTTAACATTTATACCTCTGACTGTCTCACATTTTTACCTCTGACATTTTTACCTCTGACATTTTTTCCTCTAACATTTTACCTCTGACATTTTTTCCTCTGACATTTTTACCTCTGACATTTTTTCCTCTGACATTTTTACTTCTGACATTTTTACACCGAGCCACATGACATATTCATAATTCCTGCCATGTTCTACAGAATTTGAGGTTGGCTGCAAAAGGGACATAGTACCTTTAACATAGCCTGCGTCTATATGAAACAAGGGGAGGGGCACGTTAACACACAATGCTGGCTTCAGTCATCCGCCTGGGTGGGTTTCAAACCCGAGAAATTTGGTCCGACGGGAGACACTCTACCGACTGAGCCAACTCGTCTCTATAAAGTCTCTGATATCGACAGTTGTTCCGATGAGATTACATCTGGCTCCTCTGACCGCTTCTATACATAGACTGAAGTACGTCCTATGGGGTACTGTGCGGAAGGAATGGTTCGGTTTGGGCGGATCGAGTTGAATGAGATATGCAACGATTTTGTTCACTCTTTACACATCCATTTTGCACAACAGTTCGCTTCCCATGCCATGTGTACAGAGTTTAACACTTACGCATTGAGCTACACCGCATGCGCAAAATCCATATATGCATAATTCATGAGGCAGCTGACATTCATAAGCAACAGTTCACTGATTCATTAAATATGAAACGTACTGCAGTACAGTGTTGCCCGCTTAATACACATCCAGGATAGTAATAGTGATCTTGGAGGGGAAATTGCTGTTTGGGTGGAAGATTTTCTGACAAATCGAGACCAACGATCTTGGCTGGGAATCCCTTCAGCCCCGATGGAGGAATCAAAGATTTTCAATGTTATATAAATGAAGAATGGCTTAGTTAATATCTATTTGGATGAATTTATTCAACGTAACCCAAGAGCTACTAGAGGTTATGACCAGAAGTTTCTCCACATCAGGCATAGGGCCAGGGTATTTCCCCTAATTATTCCTTTTTGTCTCGCCTGCGTAGCAAAAAGCGAGACATAGGCGCCGCTTTTCCGGTGACGGCGGCGACGGCGTCAACATCAAAAACTTAACCTAAGGTTAAGTTTTTGAATTTTTGATATAATTTTTAAAGTATAAGTTCTTAGTCAATGAAACTTTGACTATAGGGTAATCAAGTATCCCCAATCATGTGAGTAGAATTTCAGATCACAAAGTCAAGGTCAAAGGTCATTTCAGGTCAACAGACTTGGACTATGTTGTAGCATCATCATCGAAAACTTAACCTAAGGTTAAGTTTTTGAATTTTTGATATAATTTTAAAAGTATAAGTTCTTAGTCAATGAAACTTGGACTATAGGGTTATTAAGTCTCCCCAATCATGTAAGTAGAATTTCAGGTCACTAAGTTAAGGTCAAAGGTCATTTAAGGTCAACAAACTTAGACTTTGTTGTGGCATCAACATCAAGAGTTTCAAAATGCTTCTTCTTCGTTATTTTTCAACCGATTTTGATTCTGATTCTGATTCTGATTGTTTCATATGATAGGGCTAGGAGGGGGATTTAAAATTTCTACACAGAATCTTGAAATTCATTATCTATGCTAATTTATGCAAATTTATTCGAAATCACAAAAAAGGCTTCTCCTTCATTTCTCGACCGATTTTGATTTGGTTTGCTTTATATCGTAGAGCTAACTTTGGTACACTAAACTTCTACACAGAATTTTGAAATTGTTCTCCATTAATTAATTATGGTAATTTATGCAAATTTATTCCAAAAATAACAAAAATTGCTTCTTTTCCCTCATTTCTTGACTGATTTTGATTTGGTTTGCCTTATCTGGTAGAGCTAAATTTGGAACACTAAACTTCTACACAGAATTGTGAGATTTTGCTCCATTGATTATTTATGGTACTTTATGCAAATGAAATGAAATTATGTCCCTTCCAGGACATCAAATTTTTATTTTTTGACCAGTTCAAAAGTGTACCATATAAATTATAAAATTTACGATATTTGTTGTTGCGAGATGTGGATGAGCGCTACGTCATTGATGTTCTGGTTTATCATATTGAATTGCGTTATGCAGGCGAGACCGCCGAGAGCGTTTCCCTTGTTTAAAAAAAATTACAGTACTTTTTTTCTTCTTACAATACTTTTTTTGTGCACATACCACACATCAACGAAATGCCCTAAAATGTTGATCACTACTTCAATAGAGATTTATAAAGAGTCTGAATTTACAAATAGTAAAAAAAAAATAAAAAGTGAAAGGCGTAAATATTCTCAGAGAGAATGAAACGCCGATATTAGTACAAAAAAACAAACTAAAAATACGAAAAAAAACCTTCTTCTTGAAAATAAACTATAGGTCCTAAAATGGAAATAACAGCATGAGGAATGGAGATTCCTGCTTTGGAAGTGTGTCACGCGAGGTTGTAAGTTTCGTTTTAAGGAATCCCTTTTTATGGTTGCACAAGGTTGGCAGCTCTGGATATACATGTACATGTACATAGCGATAGCCAGGCGCGTACGTAGGATTTTTTGAGGGGAGGGAGGGTTTAAAATTTGAAAATCACGCCAAAAATTTCGCAACGACTCAGCTGGCCGCTGAATAAGCGGAGGGGGGGGGGGAGTAAGAGGTCATATTCTTCATTTGTGTGTGTCTCAAAATTTGGCTGATCGATATTTTTTTTTTTTTTTTTTTTTTTTTTTAATTACCGGTATTAAAAAAGAGGGGGGAGGGGGGGGGGGGGGTTTCCTCCAAAACACACACATAAAATAAGTTGGCGGTTCAACCCCCCCCCCCCTCCCTGCGTACGCGCCTGATGATAGCTGTAAAATGATAGGAAGAAAAACAAATAATTACCTAAGAAAAAAAAAAAAAAAGTATATAAAAGAAAAAAAAGAATAACCACAGAAATAAGGGTTGGTAAAGAATGATAGAAAAGAAAAAAAAATAGGTACTTTAGAATAAATAGGAAACAAACAAGCACATCAAGGACAGAAGAGAAAAGAAATTAATTTAATCATATACATATACCTCACCTATAGAGTTTAACTTAAATTATAACATTATGTTGTATAATACTGATTATCAAATACAGTATACTTCTCTGCCAAAGCACTAGCTTTCTTAAAGGTAATACAAAGTTTTGGTATGGGGTCATGAATTGTTTCAAATGAACATATTGGAAGCATATATTCGATTTTACAATATTTAATGATCGTTGTCGCGGTTGAAAATGAAGTCTAAAGTGATGAAATTGTAAATAATAAACTCTTTATGTTGTAGAGCTCCCTCTCAAGACTGATATTACTTTGGCTCTAAAACCCCTCTGCACTAGTTCGGCATGGAGGGATTAGACCTCCCTGCAAGGTCACTGGCTGGTACTTATCTCATCCAATCAGCTCTCAATTAACGTAAGAAAAAGGGCACCATGGGGATCAACGGGTACTGCTTAGGCATTGTTGGCTGTATAGATGGCGCAAGTAGCTATGAGTAGTGCAGTGGGGCTTTAAAACACTGTTTCTTGACTACAATCGTCCGATTTGCTATTCCTGTTTGGAATTTATTTATCAGAACTGCATATTCTGACATTTTCAGCTACCATTGAATGACCTTATGCACTATTTGAAATATTTGAAATTTTCCGGGAGCACCTGTAAATTTGTTATTATTCAATTTTTTCGAAAGCAGAAGTGTTATAGGGGCTAAATTTTCTAGTGCTTATAATACATCCACAGGGCATCCAAATACATCAAAAAAATTAAAGAATTACTATAAATCAAAGTTACAAAATTCTCCAAACTTTGCATTACCTTTAAGCAGTTATTTTATTTCATTCTCGTTTTCATAGGTGTCTCTCTCTCTCTCTCTCTCTCTCTCTCTTCCTATTATGTTATCTTTCATCATGCTCTAAGGCATGACCTTTGACTTGTTTTGTGTCATGTGAAATCTTTCCTTAAGAAAAATTATATATAGTATTTATATTGTTATACAAATTTCATAAATCGGTTTTACTATATGTACATTTACCTCTTATAAATGTTGATTGAAGGTTATTCCTAACATTACCAAGAATGATCCGACAATTCCTTTTATGCAGATGTTAACGAGTGCTCGTCTAACCCGTGTTCTACCAGAGGGCATTGTAACAATCTTCAGAATGCATATAGTTGTACCTGTAATCCTGGCTGGATAGGAACAAGATGTCAAACTGGTGACTATTTTTTCCTTCCTTTTGATGTTTTGTTTTGCATATAAAACCATATTAATTGCATTTAATTTTACTCTGATTGTACATAAGTACAAGACAGTATGTTTTAGTATATATATATATATATATATATATATATTTTGTTTTTGTTCTGTTCTTTTGATCTTTTTTCTTTTTTTCCTTAATGTGTGTGTTTTAGGGGTAGGCTTTATATATAAAAATAAGGAATCCCTCCTTTCTGCCTATCCCAAATGCTCTCATAAATTGACATTGTTATTTGTTATCACTATCTTGTTTTTTGTCATTCCTTTCTGTGTTTGTATGTTTTAAATGTTTTTATGAAAAGTGTTGAAAATTTTTTGAATTGAACTTGGAATTGAATTGAAGAACCTCAATTTTTGTACATGATTTGATTTGATTAAAGACAATGTTCATAAAAAAGTAATATCTTTGTCAGATAAATAACAACAATAATAATAACGATAATAATGATGATAATAATAACAAAGATAATAATAACATTAATAATAACAATAGCAATGATGGTAAGTTGGTAACATTTATAGTGCTTCATACTAATGTTTCTATAATTACCTGGTATTAGCCATGCAGCCTTAATAAGGTGCTCTGATATTCAAGGAATTTCTTCCTACCTGATAACCATTTACACCACCTGATTGGAGAGTGGCAAATTCAGATTACTGTTGTGCCTAAGTACATGTGTACATAAGAGATGCAGCAGGACAAGAACCGCAAACGATGTGATCCACAGTCCTGTGACTTATCCGATACCCCACGTTTTCAATGAGGGTGCCACGGGACATGTCTAGGTGTGACCGAGAGAGAAATTAAATTAAAGATCCTTATTTTTTTTTATCAACTATGATATACCTGTAACGTAAATTTCTTTGAAAACAAAATATAAAACACCACTATGTCTTTTCATGACAAATAACATTTTAAAATAAAGTTAGACACAAGCAATAGGCCTACTCCGGGACAGGTAAAATCCCTATTTAAAATATGTTTTGACAAGCATTTTTTTTTAAATACATCTCTTTTTTTATAATTTGTTATAATTTTTATGTTGAGGGTTAGGATTAGGGTAAGTGTTAGGTTGAGGGTTACAGTTTGGTTAAAGGTTCAGGTTTCGGATTTTGGTTAGTGTTAGGTTGATGGTTGCAGTTTGATTAAAGGTTTAGGGTAAGGGTTATGGTTAGTGTTAGGCTGGGGTTACAGTTTGGTTTTAGGTTTAGGGTTAATGTTGGGCTGAGGGTTGCAGTTGGGTTTTAGGTTTAAAGTTAGTGTTGGGCTGGGAGGGGGGGGGGGGGGAGTTAGGTATTAGGTTTAGGGTTAGGCTGAGGGTTGCAGTTGGGTTTTAGGTTTAGGGTTAGGGTTAGTGTTGGGCTGAGGGTTGCAGTTGGGTTTTAGGTTTAGGATTAGGGTTAGTGTTGGGCTGAGGGATGCAGTTGGGTTTTAGGTTTATGATTAGTGTAAGTGTTGGGCTTAGGGTTGCAGTTTGGTTTTAGGGTTAGGGTTAGTGTCAGTGTTGGGCTTCGGGTTGCAGTTTGGTTTTAGGGTTAGGGTTAGTGTCAGTGTTGGGCTTCGGGTTGCAGTTGGGTTTTAGGGTTAGGATGAGGGTTAGTGTTGGGCTTAGGGTTGCATTTGGGTTTTAGGTTTAGGATTAGTGTCAGTGTTGGGCTTCAGGTTGCAGTTTGGTTTTAGGGTTAGGGTTAGTGTCAGTGTTGGGCTTCGGGTTGCAGTTGGGTTTATAGGGTTAGGGTTAGTGTCGGTGTTGGGCTTCGGGTTGCAGTTGGGTTTTAGGGTTAGGATGAGGGTTAGTGTTGGGCTTAGGGTTGCATTTGGGTTTTAGGTTTAGGATTAGTGTTAGTGTTGGGCTGAGGGTTGCATTTGGGTTTTAGGTTTAGGGTTAGGGTTAGTGTTGGGCCGAGGGTTGCAGTTTGGTTTTAGGGTTAGGATTAGTGTAAGTGTTGGGCTTAGGGTTGCATTTGGGTTTTAGGTTTAGGATTAGGGTTAGTGTTGGGCTGAGGGTTGCATTTGGGTTTTAAGTTTAGGGTTAGGGTTAGTGTTGGGCCGAGGGTTGCAGTTGGGTTTTAGGTTTAGGGTTAGGGTAAGTGTTGGGCTGAGGGTTGCAGTTGGGTTTTAGGTTTAGGGTTAGGGTTAGTGTTGGGCTGAGGGTTGCAGTTGGGTTTTAGGGTTAGGATGAGGGTTAGTGTTGGGCTGAGGGTTGCATTTGGGTTTTAGGTTTAGGGTTAGGGTTAGTGTTGGGCCGAGGGTCGAGTTGGGTTTTAGGTTTAGGGTTAGGGTTAGTGTTGGGCTTAGGGTTGCAGTTGGGTTTTAGGTTTAGGCTTAGGGTTAGTGTTGGGCTGAGGGTTGCAGTTCGGTTTTAGGTTTAGGGTTAGTGTTGGGCTTAGGGTTGCATTTGGGTTTTAGGTTTAGGATTAGGATTAGTGTTGGGCTGAGGGTTGCAGTTGGGTTTTAGGTTTAGGGTTAGGCTTAGTGTTGGGCTTAGGGTTGCATTTGGGTTTTAGGTTTAGGATTAGGATTAGTGTTGGGCTGAGGGTTGCAGTTGGGTTTTAGGTTTAGGATTAGGGTTAGTGTTGGGCTTAGGGTTAGTGTTCGGCTGAGGGTTGCAGTTGGGTTTTAGGTTTAGGATTAGGGTTAGTGTTGGGCTTAGGGTTAGTGTTCGGCTGAGGGTTGCAGTTGGGTTTTAGGTTTAGGATTAGGGTTGGTGTTGGGCTTAGGGTTCGTGTTGGGCTGAGGGTTGCAGTTGGGTTTTAGTTTTAGGTTAAGACTTAAATCTGTTTTTACCTATGTTCTTTTGAGTCTTGCGCATCTTTTGAAATAAATTTATTGAAAAATCAGACCTACCGTTAAAAGGTCACATGACCTTTTGTCTTTGCATGTCAGTCCTAGAATATAATAGAAAAGATAAACATCTTAATATTTTATCTTTCTACATGCTCTAAGGAATGACCTTGCTTTGTCTTGTTTTGTATCCTGAGGAATCTTTCCATTAAAAATATATATACCGTAGTATTTATCTTATTATAAAAAATGCATGAATTGTTGTACACTGTACCATATGAACATTTACCTGTGATGATTTATATTCCTAACGTTACCAAGAATGATCTGCCTTTTCCTTTTATGCAGATTTTAACGAGTGCTCGTCTGGCCCGTGTCTTAATGGAGGGCAATGTAACAATCTTCAGAATGCATACAGTTGTACCTGTAATTCTGGCTGGACGGGAACAAGATGTCAAACTGGTAACTATTTTGTCCTTCCTTTTGATGTTTTATTTTGCATATAAAATCTTTTTTCTTCTGAGTCTTGCGTATCTTTTGAAATGAATTTTTCGAAAAATACTGTAGCATTGTTGGATAGTCTTGGGATCCTAATAATGTCTCGGGTTCGTTATCAGCTCTGGCTATCGTGGTCAAATCATCATATTTAGGACACTGGTTCTGACTCGTAACTGTAACGTTAACAGCCACGAGGTGGCGCTACACCTCTTACATCTTCCCTTTTTTTATAAAGATCATGGTGAACATAATATATCTTCAAATATTTCACATGAATCTCCTAATAAATGTCTATACCCCTTTAACCTAACAAAGCCTTATCTTTCTTTTATTATGCTTAACTCCAATATAAAATCCAAACCCAATTACAACTTCCAATTATTACACAACTTCAATCATGTAAAATTAACATGCAACCTAAGTACTTAAATTAACATGTGTTACTTTTCAAATTTAACACCTTACTTAGTAAAACTATCATCTAAAACACTTCCAAAATGTTAACTTTAACACAAAAAATGTATGTATCAACTTAATAGGGATATGCGCCCAACTCATACTTGATGTTGGATAGTTTCTGCGCTCTATAAATGTATTATCATTATTATTATTATTACAAGAGGTGGCGCTACACCTCTTACAAATACGACTTACCATTACAAAGTCACATGACCTTTTGTCTTTGCATGTCAGCTCGAAAAATTGCTAATTTTTGTGATTTGTTTACAAAACATATGGAAATGTCACATTATCCCCAAAAAGAGATAAAACATTGATTATTTGGCCTTGTTTAAAGTTCAAGTGTTTATTTGGGGGTTCAAAATAGTGGAATTATAGTAAGAATTAAAATTTAAAAAAAATAAAAAAAATACATGAATTAAAAAAACAAAGAAATACATAAGTCATTATCAAATCAATATATAACATAAGGAATAACCTGGCTCTTCCAATTTGTTTGGTATTATTATCCCAAATGGTCTAAATAATATATGTAGTGAAAATTAATGTTTAAAGGTAATACAAAGTTGAGGTATGGGGTCATGAATTTGGATCAAATGAATATATTGAAAGCATATGCGAACCTACAATATTGAGTGATCGTTGTCGCGGTTGAAATCGAGTCTTTATTAGTTATGAAATTGTAAATAATAAACTCTTTATGTTGTATAGCTGCCTCTCAAGGTCGAGATGTCAATTAAGCTATAAAATAATGTTTCTTGAAATTCTATATCACAACTACATATTTTGAGATTTTTATGGTCGCAGCTACAATTGTATGGCTGTAGGCGCTATTTGAAATTCATCAAAATTTACTGGGAGCACCAGTAAATTTTTATATTCTATTTTTCTCGAAAGCAGAAGTGTTTTAGTGGCTAAATTTTTTTAGTGCTTATAATACATCCACAGGGGCAACCAAATATATCAAAATTGTAAAGATTCACTATCCACCCAATTTTTAAAATTTCCCAAAACTTTTAGCTTTAATCATGAAGAATATATGATTTATGGGTAAAAATGTGAATTGTATAATACCTTATTTACATAAATTACCATGAATATGCAAATGAATTTACTGCTAAGATCATTGGGCGGGGGGGGGGGGGGGGGGGGGGGGGGGGGCGGGGGGCCTTAGAAGAGCATTGTTAAACAATGCCTTTAAACACTGCTATGTCTGTTTATGACAAATAACATTTTTAAAGACAATCAAGGGTCTTTTTTATTTGGTCGCTCTCGACATTTAGAAAAAGTATGATTTTACTTGGTTTACCGCCTGATTACCCACATAAATATGCAAGGAGGTGCCAGAATATACTTTGATAGCGAGCTGCCAAAGTATTGATTGCTATTGGGTTTTAGGTTTAATAGGGTTAGTGTTAAAATAAGGAATGTAGTTGGGTTTAGGTTATGGATTAGCAGAGATTCCAACAAGTATGATTTAGTACAATAATAAGAGTGAAATACGATAATACAATATCACCTCTTTAAATACGATTTTTCTTCTTTCAAAAAGAAGAAAAGAAAAAGATTAAAACACACATACAAGCCCTTAACAAAACTGCGGAATCGCATAGAAACATGTACAAGTAAACCTCTGCAACACCAAAAAAACTCTGCTTTACAATTTTCTTGTTAGATGTTAATGACAGAGCAAACATTTTACTTGACCGTTCTTACCAGTAAAACATTTTCTGAAATTTGATTGGCCCAGGACCAACGAGCCAGTTGTAGTGTCGAGTTTTCGAGAAAATCTGATTTTTCTCTCCCAATTCTGATTTTTTTAAAGGCTATTCAGTCTGTTTTTTGTGTCAAGAGGTTGGTATCTCCAGGTCAGTGTTAGAATGAGGGTTGCAGTTGTGTTAATGATAAGACTGATATTTGGATTATGACATGCGGAACAAAGCAGAAAATAAGAATAAAGAATTCATTACCATAATTATGATAACTATAGCTGCAAGAAGACTAAGATTCTAACTAATCTTATTGCTGAGAATTGTCTGCATTCTGACTGTTTGAGATGAGGGTGCCTGTCATGCTGTCAAAGCAGCTTTGTCATTGCAAGAAAACCCCTTTAGTAACAATTAACAACCAAGCATCTCTATAATCTCCAATTGAAGCCAACTTGTAAGACCAGCAGGTGATCGCTGGAAGATTTACAGCCATTGCACCATAGAAAATGAAAACAATCGAAAGAAAAACAAAGAAATACCTCAGAAAAAATAAGGAAATACATTAGGAAAGAGAGAAGAAATATAAACAAAGAAATCAACAGGATAGGTAGAAAAACAAAGAAATACATAAAGAATGACTAAGAATTACATAAAGAAAAATATAAAAAGTATCAACAAAGATATACATGATAGATAGAAATTAATAAAAAGAAAAACATACCGGTACACACGTATACCTAAGGAAAAATAAGGAAGTTCATAAGGAAAGAAAAAAAGAAAGACAGAGAAAGAAAAATGGATGGGTAGAAAATAATAGAAAAGATAAATATCTTACATCATGCTTTAAGGCATGACCTACATGTAGCTTTGTCTTGTTTTGTATCATGTGAAATATTTCCATTAAAAAATATATATAGTATTTATCTTATTAAGAAAAATACATAAATCGTTGTACCATATGTACATTTACCTGTAATAAATGTTGATTGATTGTTATTCCTAACATTAACAGGAATGATCTGACTTTTCCTTCTATGCAGATGTTAACGAGTGCTCGTCTGGCCCGTGTCTTAATGGAGCCTGTAACAATCTTCAGAATGCATACAGATGTACCTGTGATTCTGGCTGGACGGGAACAACATGTCAGACTGGTGACTATTTTTCCTTCTTTTGATGTTTTGTTTTGCATATTAAACCTCAATTTCTGTACAGGATTTGATTTTTATTAAAGATGATGTTCATACAAAAGTTATATTAACAGATAAATAACAATAATAAAAATAATGATAAAGATGATAATAATCATAACAATAATCATGATGTTAAGTTGGTAACATTTTTGTCTCGCCCGCATAGCAAAAACTAGACATAAGGCGCCGCTTTTCCTTTGGCGGCAATGTCAACCTAGAAAACTTAACCTATATTAAGGTTCAGTTTTTGAATGTTTAACATAATTTTGAAAGCATATGTTCTTATTCAATGAAACTTGGACTAAAGGGTTATCAAGTATCAGCAATCATGGGATTATAATTTTAGATGACAAGGTCAAAGGTCATTTCAGGTCTGCAAACAGACTTTGTTCTGGCATCAACTTCAAGATTTTGAATTTTTAGCATGAATTTCAGAAGTGTTTGTTCAGATTCCATGAAACTTGTACCCGAGGGTTATTAAGAATTCATAAATCATGTGACACAAAGTCAAGGTCAAAGGTCATTTCGGGTCAGTAGACTTGGATTTTGTTTTCAAAACTTAATATGAGAATTAATGAATCAATTTTTGTTTAATCTATTACCAAAATGGTTTCTATCATTATCTATTGGGAATCAGCCATCAATATTAGGGCACCTAGAGTGTTACATGTAAGTCTGACAGACATGAGCGCCATACAAGAACCCACAATCATCACCATGATTGTATCATTGTGAGTTTATTGTACTCAAGCATGTGATCATGAATTAAATAAAGGTTGCTGCCTACTTTTTCATCTTTTTCACCTTTTTTCCCTCTGTTTGTTAGAAATTGACGAATGTGAACCTGGACCTTGTCGAAATGGTGGTGAATGTGAAGATAAGGTCAATGCGTTTCTCTGCGATTGCCAATCTGGTTGGACAGGGACAACGTGTGAAGAAGGTATAAAGCCCTTTCCATCTCATACTAATTTTGCATTGTCAGGTATTGTTTGATTGTTCTTGCCCCAAAAGGGTACTCTTCTAGGATGATTACAATTGCAAAGACTTTCAAAAAATAAACCTTCGGCAGTTTTTGATAACCTTGTTCCTCAGATATTTAAATGATTGAACATTACACAGCCTTCATATTATGAACGTTATTTCATGGGATGTATAGTTGGGTATTGCAATTACCTTTTGAGTTGATTTCTCGAAAATAATCATGATATTTTACTGTTGATTGATTGGCAGAGGTAAAAGTTACAGACTTTAAAATATCAGAGCTAGGTAAATAATATGCACTTTGAAATTAAATACGAATTGTTCTGTATAAAATGCGGTACCTAATTCTTTGGAATCGAATATCAATATAATACCTAAGTATTGAGTCAACCACTGTCCTTATCTTGTGATAAGTTTTAATAGAAATATAGATCTAATTCAATAACCAAAGTGTTTTACTGCCAAGGTTGGCTTTATTTACTAAGTGTAAATAAATACAACAAAAAAACACAATATGATAACATGACAAATAGTTTTGGAAGGATCACCTTGTCCAGCTGTTCTGCTGAGGGATATTTGATGATTCAACACATTTTGTTTGAGCAAATAATTACAGGGCCCTCAAGAACAACGGCATATTGGTGCTGATGAGGTTTCTCTGGGTACACAAACTTGGTATTATTATTATATAGGGCTAGGTTTGGAGTCGGGTTTAGGATTCGCATCGTTGTTTTTTGGTCAAGTGCTGAAGTCATAGGGGATTGGTTAGAGTTAGAACATACAATATTAACCAAAATTGTACTTACCTTTGATTTCTAGTATTTTGTAATATGTTGTATGCTTCACATTTTTATACATGCGCTTTATTAAAAATCCATTATCTATTTATTATTATTATTATTATTATTATTAGTAGTAGTAGTAGTAGTAGTAGTAGTAGTAGTCTTATCATTGTCATCATTATTATTATTATTATTATTATTATTATTGTTGTTATTATTATTATTATGATTTAAATGAATAAGGTTCACTATTCCAAGGGTTTGTAATCCCAAAAATGAAATAGGGTTCATTATTCTGAATGATCATAGTTGGGATAAACAATAAAGGGTTCTATGTAATTTTTTGTAAAAACAACCCGTCAGAATTATAAACTAACAAAAAAACCGATGTGTTGCTGAGTCAATGAAGAGATGACAGACTTGAAGGCAGGGTATTCTACTGACACCACTGCAGGTTTTTATATACTTCCATCTGCTGCTAGCAATGTCTCCATGTGGCAACATCAATCAATGTCCCACAATGCATCACCATCTGATAAAGTGAGCGTGATGATCACTGATTGAAGGTACAGTGGTGATGACGATTGGGTACTTGGGTACCAGAAATCGATCTATGTACGCTTTAACCAAAATATGGCGCAAATGAAAATACATTTCAGCAGTGGAAGTGTTGTCAGTTAATTGAGGACAAGTTAACTTGAGCGAACAATATGGTATCATTATTCATTCTTTTTCTTTCGTAGATGTGAATGAATGCCTTCCAAATCCATGTGATCACGATGGGATATGCAACAATCTTCAGAATGCATTTAGCTGTACCTGTGTAAACGGCTGGACAGGAACAATGTGCGAGGAAGGCAAGTATATTTGCTTGTAAAATAATATGTACTTATGTGGTCTTAAGCTCTTCACATGATATCGATTGCAAGGATCGTCATTAGCATATTTTCACTCCATGTAATATTTTATGGTTAAAGTTTGTTATGACGATTTGGAATCAATTATATCATATCGGCACGAAGATACCAATTTAAATCTCAGATTTAATCCAATTGTACTTGAAAGTGAGAGGCACAATAACAATGCAGATATCGACCCTGACAAAAATTATTTTGCAAACTACGTTACGTCCACTTCTAATTACTATGAGGTGATAGATTTTGTGAACAAATTTGCGATAACAAAAAATAATGCAACCTTTTCGAATATACATTTCAACGTTAGGAGTATTCTAAAAAAAATTGATTCCTTAAAAAATTTCTTGAGTATTTTAAATTTCCAGTTTGATGTAATTGGCATCTCGGAGACCTGGTTAAGAGACGATAGTCTCTCACTAAATATCGATGAACATACTTTTATATGTAAGAACAGAAACCATGGTCGTGGTGGGGGTGTTGGAATGTATATAGCGGACTCGCATTATTATTTCCTAAGAGATGACCTGACGCTTGATTCAGAAATATGTGACTCCATTTTTATAGAAATAGTTCAAGAAAAGAGAAAGAATATTATAGTTGGTGTGGTATACAAACCCCCAAATATTCAGACCGATATTTTTCTGAAGCACTGGACATTGTGTTCAACAAAATAACTAGCGACAAGAAAATGTGTTATGTAATGGGTGATTTTAATATCGATTTATTACAACATGATATAAACAACTCAGTAAAAAACTTTATCGATATAGTATTCAGTAACTCATGCTACCCCTTATCGACAAACCTACACGAATTACGAAGTCATCTGCCACTTTAATAGATAATATACTTACAAATAACTTCTTTTCATTTCATGATACTGGTCTATTGTATTGTGATGTATCCGATCACTTGCCTGTTTTTACCATTTCAAAGTTAAATGTTGCTAATGTCAAATCATCTAAAGTAAACATAGGTCACAGAATTATAAATCAGAAAAATATTGAGGCCTTAATTAGGAATTTGCACGAAGTCAACTGGAGGGATGTATATGCTGCGGAAGATCCAAACGATAGTTATAATATTTTTCAAAATAAATTTCGTGCATTGTATGATAAGCATTTTCCAATTGTATTAGAAAAAAACAAAAACAAGAAATTAAAATGTTGGATGACGAATGGACTGTTACAATCGATCCGACATAAGAATAAATTATACAAAATGTATTTACGTAACCCATCAGACCAAAATGCTTATGTGAATAAAAACTATCGTAACCTACTCACAGGATTAATTCGTAAAGCAAAATCTCAGTATTTCCATGACAAATTTGTACTTAATAAATCTAATGTAAATCGTACGTGGCAAACGATCAATTCACCACTTAACAAAAGTAAGCCAGCTGAGAATTCTGTATTTAATTACAACGGGGACATCGCTACAGAACCGGACATTATTTCGAACTCCTTTAATGACTTCTTTACAAGCATTGGTCCATCTTTAGCAAATAAAATCCCAGGTACCCAAACGAATTATTTACAGTATATGAATGATCCACCTGTTGACTCTTTGTATTTATATCCTACTAGGGAAAACGAAATTTGTAACATTGTTAGTACTTTTGGAAACAATAAAGCTGCAGGTTTGGACGAATACAGTCCAAGAGTCATTAAACAGGTCATTATGTACATATGTAGACCACTATGCCATGTACATGTATTCAACCTTTCATTATTAAACGGAGTTTTTCCAGATGAGCTAAAGAAAGCTAAAGTAACACCAGTGTTTAAATCTGGTGACAAGCGTGAATTTACAAACTATAGGCCCATTTCTGTACTGTCGGTCTTCTCTAAATTATTCGAGCGCATTGTTTATAAAAGAACTATTGAATTCCTTGACAAACATTCTATTCTCAATAAACATCAATATAGTTTCCGTAGGGATTATTCAACATGTATGGCTCTTACCAATCTTTCTAGTAAAGTCATAGACGCCTTTGAGGCGAACGAATTTGCAATTGGAGTTTTTATAGATCTGTCTAAGGCATTTGACACAATTAATCACAATATTTTACTATCTAAACTATATCGTTATGGAATACGTGGTGTAGCTCTTAAATTTTTCACCAGTTATCTTAACAATCGATTACAATGTACCAAATATCAATCTTCTATTTCGGAGTTTAGGACAATAACATGCGGAATTCCACAGGGTAGCCTGCTTGGGCCATTGTTATTTATATTATATGTGAATGATATTTATAAATCTGCTGATGAATTGTCTTTTATACTGTATGCAGACGACACAAACATATTTCACAGAGATTCAAACTTGAAGTCTCTTATGGATGCAGTAAATGCAGGTCTTACATATATATGTGAATGGTTCAAATCTAATAAATTATCTATAAATGTAAAGAAATGTAATTATATGATTTTTCACAATGGAAAGAATGTAGATTTAAATGATTTCAATATTGTTCTTGATAATGTCATATTGCCAAGGGTAGATAAAGTCAAATTTCTTGGCGTTTATTTAGATAGTTCCTTGTCTTGGAAATACCATATTCACGAAGTTGAAAGTAAGGTGTCCAAAAACATTGGCATTATATCCAGACTCAAACATCTCTTGCCTAATCACATTCTACGTATGTTATATTGTGCTCTTATACTTCCATATTTTTATGCCTCCGCCACCGAAGGTGGTGCCGGAGGCATCATGTTTTCGGGTTGTCCGTCCGTACGTCCGTCCGTACGTCCGTCCCGTTTGACCGTTATCACAATATCTCAAGAACCATTTAAGATTTAAACTTAAGACTCGGGAATAGTATTTATCACCATAGGAAGACGATCTGATTAGATTTTGGAGTACGTAGGTCAAAGGTCACAGGTCACAGAGGTCAACTTATGAAATTCCTTGTATTGAGTTTGTTAGCGCGATATCTCAAGAACCGTTTGAGATTTAAACTTCAAACTTAAGGATAGTATGTATCACCATAGGAAGACGATCTGATTAGATTTTGGAGCACGTATGTCAAAGGTCAAGGGTCACAGAGGTCAACTTATGAAATTCCATACATTGAGATTGTTATCATGATATCTCAAGAACCACTGGAGATTTAAACTTCAAACTTAGTGATAGTGTGTATCACTATAGGAAAACAATCTGATTACATTTTGGAGCACGTAGGTCAAAGGTCAAGGGTCATAGAGGTCAACTTATGAAATTCCATACATTGAGATTGTTATCATGATATCTCAAGAACCACTGGAGATGTAAAAATTTCAAACTTAAGGATAGTATGTATCACCATTGGAAGACGATCTGATTAGATTTTGGAGCACGTAGGTCAAAGGTCAAGGGTCACAGAGGTCAACTTATGAAATTCCATACATTGAGATTGTTATCATAATATCTCAAGAACCACTGGAGATTTAAACTTCAAACTTAATGATAGTGTGTATCACCATAGGAAGACAATCTGATTAGATTTTGGAGCACGTAGGTCAAAGGTCAAGGGTCACAGAGGTCAACTTATGAAATTCCATACATTGAGATCGTTATCGCGATATCTCAAGAACCACTGGAGAATTTTGACTTCAAACTTAATGATAGTATGTATCACCATATCATAATATCTCAAGAACCACTGGAGATTTAAACTTCAAACTTAATGATAGTGTGTATTACCATAGGAAGACAATCTGATTAGATTTTGGAGCACGTAGGTCAAAGGTCAAGGGTCACAGAGGTCAACTTATGAAATTCCATACATTGAGATTGTTATCATGATATCTCAAGAACCACTGGAGATTTAAACTGCAAACTTGTTTTAATTGCTCTATGGCGGAGGCATCATTTTTGACTGCGCGCAGTCAAAATTCCATCTATTTCTTACTGTAATCTTGTTTGGGCGAATTCCTGCAAGTACAAAATACAAAAGCTTATACTATTGCAGAAGAAGATTATTCGTATAATATCCGGAATGCACTATCGTTCCCATACTGGTCCCATCTTTAAACAAATTATTTTCTTGAGATTCAGTGATATTAACTTGCACCAACAGGGTATTTTCATGTATAAAAGCATGAATAACATCTTCCCATCACAATTTAGTAATTTTATCAATTTTAAATGCAACTCGGAAACCCATACGTATAATACGAGATGCGCTGCCAACATTCGTCTCCCTAAACATAGAACCCGAAGATTTCAATTTGACATTCGATACTCTGGACCAAAATTTTGGAACACCTTACCATCTATTCTACACAAATCGCTCTCCTTGCAGACTTTTTCCCGTAAGGCAAAAATGTATTTAATTGCTCGATATTGATACCCTCTCTTGTATTTATGTGTGAAATGATCTTTTGTGGAATTTAATGACATCTTTGTATGACCGATTATTTATTTACTTTGATAACTTGTTGCTAGTACCATCTGTATATTCCCAGGACAATGCTGTCGGATAAAGCTGTTGTCTGTTTGATGATTTTGCTTGTTTGTAATGATATGTACCCGCTGTCTATTTTACAATTGTACTTCGTTATCTTTATGATGTAATCGCAGACACATGTACAGCCCAATTGATGTAACTTTCTCTTTATAAGTGAACATGCCTTCCTATACTTAATTCTCTCCTCTCTTCCTTTCACTATTTTTTCTTTCCTATCAACGTTCTGTTATATACAATGTAATTTTCATAATAATGTCTATAATGTTCTTTCGGTAACTGTGTTAATTTATTATGGGCGTTCCCAACTCAAGCTACGCTTTCCGGGTTTTCGCTTCCTTCCGTATATAAATTAATTACTGTATACTCTATGTTGAAATAATTGTTACATATATCATGTATATATACATGTACATTGTGTTTTATATTGTGCTGTTGAGAAGGAAATAAATGTTAATAATAAATACAAAAATGAGTATATTATTCATTGTACCGTATCCAAGCAACCCTGCGCCCGTACCCATTGTTTGCATTTTCTCAGCTGTCTGCATTTGATGTACATGTAGAAGGCTAAATGGTCCAATACAATTTTTGTTTTTTAAAGCCCCAGTCCCATATAAAGCCGGACCAGCACGGACGAGCACGGACCACTCCGGACCATCCCGGACCATGGTCTGGGGTGATCCGGGATGGTCCGGGATGTTTTGTTAAAAAAAGTGTGATGCTTTAAAAGCTACAGTCCCATATACGTCCCGGACCGTCCCGGACCATCCCGGACCCCATCCGGGGTGATCCGGGATTCGGTCCGTGTTGACACCGTGTTGGCACCGGGGTGGTCCTGGATGGTCCTGGATGGTCCTGGGCGGTCAATAACTCACTCCCGGACTGCCACGGATCAACACGGACCGCCCCGGCGCCACTACGGATGACCCCGGACCCAGCACGGTGGCTACACGGATCACCCCGGATCAAACTATTGTCCCGGACCGTCCCGGACCACCCCGGCAGTTTTTGACCGTCAAAAACATCCGGGGTCGACTCCCGGACCGCCCAGGACCATCCCGGACCATCCAGGACCATCCAGGACCATCCAGGACCACCCCGGTGCCAACACGGTGTCAACACGGACCGAATCCCGGATCACCCCGGATGGGGTCCGGGATGGTCCGGGACGGTCCGGGACGTATATGGGACTGTAGCTTAAAGGCATGATGTAATCAAGGCTATCTAATACCATGCCAGGCAAAAACGTCAGATGTGAAAATGTCAGACGTGAAAATGTCAGAGGTAAAAATATATATATTATTCCCCCTTTCAATTAATATATGTTATGCTAGATTATGTTAGATCACTGATTGAAGGTACAGTGGTGATGATGATTGGGTACTTGAACCAGAAATTGATCTATGTACGCTTTAACCAAAATATGGCGCAAATAAAAATACATTTCAGCAGTTTGAGGACAAATTAACTTGAGCGAACAGTATGGTATCATTATTTTTCTTTTTCTTTCGTAGATGTGAATGAATGCCTTCCAAATCCATGTGATCACGATGGGATATGCAACAATCTTCAGAATGCATTTAGCTGTACCTGTGTGAACGGCTGGACAGGAACAATGTGCGAGGAAGGCAAGTATATTCGCTTGTAAAATAATATGTACATATGTGGTCTTAAGCTCTTCACATGGTATCGATTACAAGGATCGTAATTAGCATATTTTCACTCCTGGTAATTTTTTATGGTTAAATTTTTTTATGACCAACCAGTCAAATGAGTATATAATTGCATTGTACCGTATCCAAGCAACCCTGCGCACGTACCCATTGTTTGCATTTTCTCAGCTGTCTGCATTTGATGAACATGTAGAAGGCTAGATGGCCCAATACAATTTTTGTTTTTTAAAGGCATGATGTAATCAAAATGTCAGACGTGAAAATGTCAGATGTGAAAATGTCAGAGGTAAAAATGTATATGATTCCCCCTTTCAGTTAATATATGTTATGTTAGATGGTTTGTTGTAAATGGCAAAGGTTAAAATATCAGAGCTAGGTAAATAATATGCACTCTGAAAATAAATAGTAATTGTCCTGTAAAATGAAGTACCTAATTATTTGGAATCAAACATCTATATTATACCTAAAGTAGTGAGCCAATCACTCGCCTTGTCTTTACATGAGTTTTAATGGAAACATATAATCTAATTCAATAACCAAGGTGTTTACCGCCAGGGTCGGCAATTTCTCGGCGGGTGGGAAATACTTGAAAATACTTGGAAATACTTGTATGCGTGCCAACGATATTGTACATTGTGTAGTTGGCGATCATGGCATCGATACCAATATCTTTCAACTCACTTAATTCCATCTTTTAATTCGATTCCAAATGTACTTTGATTGTCCTTACCGTTGATAGATATTGATGAGTGTTACGTGAGACCGTGTCAAAATGAAGGAATTTGTGCCAATCTTCAAAATGCCTTCTCTTGTACATGTATGCAGGGATGGACTGGACCTACATGTGATGAAGGTAACTATTTATCATCCTAAATCAGCATTTATACATAATTCTTGAAGACATGACTTAACCACTCCTTTAAAATCAACATTTCTTCTGGAAACAACAAGTTTTTACAAAGTCTCTTTATAAAAAAACTTGAATGAAATGTGAAGACAGCATCTGAATACCTTTATGTTTCTGATGTATTTATACATACATTTTTATATATTAACCAAGTCATTTCATTCCTAACATCCTCCCTCCTTCCCCCCCCCCCCCCCTCTCCTAGTATGATAGCCCATTTATTGATGGTATCCATATGACCCTACATTTGCTTGGGCTTTATTACATCATAATCATGGGTATAGGTGAATGTTAAGAGTCGCGATTGGGTTTTAAGGTTAGGATAGTGATTTTTCCAAGACCAAAGTTAAAGATTGAATTAAGGTTGAAGTTTGGTTCTGGGTATGGCATGGACAGCGGGACAAAAAAATAATATCGCCGGAGCATGGATCGTACATTGGCTTCCCCAATACCTGAAGCCCAACCAGCAAATTGTGTGTTTTTTTAAAATATATATTATGCCTGCAAGCTATCTTCTTCTTCTTTTCTTCTCTTTCTCTATTTTCTTCTTTTTCTGCTCCTTCTTTTCCTCCTTCTTCTTCCCTCTTTTTCTTTTTTCTTCTTTTCCTTTCCATTTTATCTTCTTCTTCTCCTAGTTCTTCTTCTACTCTTAGCTTTTCTTCTTCAATTATCCGTAAAATCCTCTTCTTCCTCCTCCTCTTCTTCTTCTGTTCTTATTTTCTACTTTCTTCTTTTTCTCTTTTTTCTTCTTCTTCTTTTTCATCCCCCCTCTTTTACATCTTCTTCAAATGTTCCTAAAATCTCCTGTTTCTTCATCTTCTTTTTTTATCTTCTTCTTGTTCTACTTCATCTTATTCTTTCCTTTTGCTTCCTCTCCTTGATCTTGGTTTTAGGGTTAAAGTTTCACTTGGATGTTGATTTTATGAATATCAGTTATGATTTGGAGTTTAATGTCAACATAAATGTTTTGTCATGTGTCTGAAATTGAGAGCCGAGTATTGTCAATGAAACATGTATCGTACATTTGCTACCCCAATACTGAGGAGAGCCTTAAAAGCACTTTTCGTTTGTTTTGTGAATACTAATTTCTCCAAATAACCTCTTCCACTTCTTTTCGTCTTTTCTTCCTCTTCCTTCTACCTCTTTCACTTCTTCTTTCCTTCCTCTTCTTTTCTCTTATTCTTCCTCTTCTTTTCTCCTCTTCCTCTTCCTCGTTTTCTTCTTCCTTTTTTCCCTCTTCCTTTTCTTGTTCCTCTTTCCCTTCTTCTTGTTCCTCTTCTTTTCTTCTTCTTCTTCTTCTCCTTCCCCTTCTTTAATTCTTGTTCCTCTTCTTCTTCTTCGTCCTCTTTTTCTTCTTTCTCTTCTTCTTCTCCTTCCTCGTCTTCTACTTCTTCTCCTTGTTCTTTATTCTAGATGTGGATGAATGTGCCGTTAGTCATGACTGTAGTCAGAGATGCATTGATAATGGCATGGGTATGGGATACAGCTGTGCCTGTTATCAAGGCTATCAACTTCAGTCAGACGGGACAATGTGTCAAGGTATTAGTCTTATAAAGTAGATGTTTAAAAAACCTGATTTCAAGTGTTCAAAATATGTAATTCTTGGGATGAATCATCCATACCAATATTGGCTAAAGGAATTAATTAATTAACATCCAAACAGGTATTCAGCGCTCTAACAAAATTAGCTACAACTAATCAGGGGCGTACGCAGGGGGGTGGTTTTGGCCTTACCCCCCCGCCCCAATGAAAAAAAATGTCAAATTCCGAGACCAAACCAAAAAAAAAAAAGTGTCCGCTTACCCTCCCCCCCCCCCCCCCCCCCCCCCCCACTGAGCGACTTTTCGGTTGGCTGAGTCGTTGCTATTTTTTTTTTGGACTACCAAAAAAAAAAAAAAAAGTGTCCGCTTACACCCCCCCCCTCCCTTTCGGTTGGCTGAGTCGCTGCGATTTTTTTTTGGACAACAAAAAAAAAAATTTAAAAAAGTGTCCGCTTACCCCCCCCCCCCCCCCCCCACTGAGCGACTTTTCGGTTGGCTGAGTCGTTGCGATTTTTTTTTTTGGACTACCAAAAAAAAAGAAAAAAGTGTCCGCTTACACGCCCCCCCCCCCCCCCCCCCACTGAGCGACTTTTCGGCCGGCGCGATTTTTTCAAATTTTTGGGAGCAAAATATTTTGGGCCAGATTTTAAAACCCCCCCCCCTTGAAAAAATCCTGCGTATGCCCCTGCAACTAATGCACACATACACAGTACTTTATAGATGAAACTTTGACTTGGAATGCGTAGCAAAAAGCAAGACATAGGCGCGGCTTTTCCGGTGGCGGCGGCGGCGTTAACATCAAAAACTTCACCTAAGGTTAACCCTATTTAGCCCGGGGGGGGGGGGGGGGGGCTTTAGAAGCCCCCCCCTCGACATTTTTTCGCGATAATTTTTTAACGCAAGAAAACCTTGCACTGAAATTTTGTGACTTTTTTCTTTCGAGTCTTGCGCATCTTTTGAAAATCGCTCATTTTTGTGATTTGTGTACAAAACATACGGAAATCTCATTTTTCAAATAAAGAGCTAAAACATTGGTTATCTGGTCTTGTTTATAGTTTAGGTGTTTATTTTGGGGTAAAATAGTTGAATTATATTTGGAAATGAAATAAAACAACAAAAACAATAAAATATATAAGTTAAAAAAACAAAGAAATACATAAGAAATTATCAAAATAATAGATAACATAAGGAATAACCTTGGTTTTTCAATTTTTTGTGTTGTATTATTATTCCAAATGGTCTAACAAATATATGTAGTGAGAAAGAATGCTTAAATATGAATAATGTCTGATTCAAGGGCAAAAATGTGAATTTTATGACCTTATTTGCATAAAGTACCATAAATATGCAAATGAGTGAATTTTTCCAAAAATTGAAATAACCATAGTATTCTATACACTTCAATTGACATGTATGCACATTTTCGCGGCGATCGGGCATTTCACGGCCGAGATCATAGGGGGGGGGGGGGGGGGGCCTTAGCAGAGATGTGATAATTGTGTAAAAACCTTGTCCTTATATTCCTTCAATTTTACAGCGACTCTTTCTCCATTTGTATTCTTTCAGACATAGACGAATGTGTTTTAGTCCGTGACTGCAGTCAAGAATGCTCTAACACTGAAGGCAGCTACATCTGTTCGTGCAATGATGGATACAGTCTTGATATCGATATGAGGACATGTAACGGTACAAATACACAAGTAGTTTATCCTCAAGGGTACAGGGGCACATCCGCCCCTCCCCTCTCCTCCTCTTCCCAAATCGGATGGCCAAAAGCCTAGGAACTTAAAACAGGAATTGAAGGAGATAGAGAGATGATAGAGTCAGAGATTTATATTTTTTTAGATGTCACCATAACATTTCATATAACAGTTACCTGTATGAAGTAGAATTCTTTCAAATGCACGTCATTGCCCATAGAGCAGAAACGTAGATGTAATTCACATTTCATTCAATTTTGTCAGTGATACACTATTTATGAATCTTTAAAGTTAGATCTTAAAAGATACTAAGTGGCTTAACCAAAAGAAAATTATATGCAATTATAAAGTATCATTCTTCCTATTCTGTTAAAAAATCACTAGCCTATAAATACAAATCCCAGTATGGAAGCATACTGTGATATTCAATGTGCATGTATAGTGTGAAAGTTATTTATCATTCTCATTTCATTTTTTACAGAAATTGATGAGTGTTTGTCAAATCCATGTTTCAATGGAGTATGCACTGATCTGCTCAGCTCTTATTCCTGTACTTGCTCACCTGGTTGGCTTGGCTTCCAATGTAACAATGGTAATGACTTCATAAGTACCTGTCATCATTTTTGCACTTTGTCTCTTTCGAAATACCGAACCCTGACCTGGTAAAATAAAGCTCTCAATGTCATATAACGTCCGATAGGAACCGATTGGGTCAACATGTTATGTCATCACTGTAACTTCTGTAAATTTAACCCATGTTGACCTGTAATTTGGAGGGGTGCAGTAAATGAGGTTTTAATTTGCTTTTGTGCAGTAATTAAAGAATAAATACATGTACTTTCTATTTCTTTATATTTGTATTCTACATTCATTCAGTTTTCCATTTAAATCAAGTTGTATTTTCATTGGATAGGGTCTTAGTATGCCCAATGTTTTTTTTGTAGGTACCCATTAATGTACCGTATGTAAATTTACGCACTGGTGTTTTTCCGAAAACAATTACTTATTGAATAAAAGCTTGTCAAATATATTGGCCAAAGCATTCAAATGTTTAAGTGTTTTCTAGGTTTCCCAGGTAAATTAGCCATGCCACACATATCAAATATCGAATATCAAATATCAACGAACATTTGTGCGCGTGTGTGTGGGTGATGTGACTTTGCCCTTTTGCAAAATGCATATGCAAAGCATTTCATTTGATACATTTATTTCATGCTCTCACTCCGCTAATCCCAACTTAATACATACTGTACGCATCACTTTGGCGCAAGTCGATTTTTGCACTCTCGCAAACAATGCCTCCTGTTCGTTCAAGCGTGAACATATACCACACCAAAATGGTACCAAATGATTTTGGATAAAACACTCTTTCATAAGATGTATAATAATTAACTGTTCATAGAGGATTTTAAAAATAATTAGCAATTTTCTAGGTGTAAACTTTTTTTTGACTTACACGGTATTTAAAGATGTACGATTTGGAATATAGGACTAAAACCCTAGTGTGTTATTGGCATCATTATGTGTCTGTTGTGATTTTGCAGATATTGACGAATGTAGTTCAGCAGACATGAATGCATGTAGTCAGATATGTACCAATACTGCCGGTTCTTACGACTGTTCCTGTACAGCAGGATATGAGCTTCATCATGATGGCACAACGTGTAACGGTAAGTAATGTACAAAACAAGTCCAAGCTAGACCTATTTGGTAATTTGCTGTCCAATGATCAGATATAGATAATCTAGGATGTTGTGGGTAAAGCCATGGTATTACAACCAGCTATGCACCTCTCTATCTCTTTTTGGGAAAATCATTGCATCAGACGTTCAGATCTGTACTTTTTTTTTGGGGGGGGGGGCACGCAGAACAGTGTTTTATAATAGGAAATAAATATATAGTAAATTTGTGAAGCTACAAAATTCCTATAGCAGCGGGCGATTCTTAAAAGTCAACGCAGGACTTTTGTCCTTATCGAGGGACAGTAGTCCTCAAAAAGCGACTCTCTGATTGAGGTGAAACGTTTTAAACTTCTCACTTGCATTGTATCTTTTTATTTTGTGTATGACTTTTAGATATCAACGAATGCCTGTTTACGAATGACTGTACTCACATCTGTAACAACACCGTCGGTGCTTATTTATGCTCTTGTCGCCCGGGCTATTCTTTGCATTTTGATGGATTTACATGTATAGGTAAGCCTAATACAAATGATCATGGAATGTTAGTGTTTCATTTCATGCCTATATAAAATTTCTATTTTGTAGAGTACCTTGAAACATTGTAGATATGTTAAATGCTATATTAATCTAGGACATTGCTGTTTTTATTATCACTATAATTTTTTTCTAGTTATTATTATGATTATTATTATTGTCATTATCTTGAACATATGATCATTTTTTTTAGTAGTAGTAGTAGTAGTAGTAGAAGAAGTAGCAGCAGTAGTAGCTATATAGCAGTAGAAGTAGAATCATATTACCTACTACATGTTTAACTGCTGCTATAACTCTTGCTACAAATACATCACTGAGAATTATGCATGCTTATATGATCTGTTCTGTATCTCATATTTCATGGAAATTCATTATGTCATTTTAATATATATATATATATATATTTATATAAACATGTATGTGTGTATAGTATTATATAAATATTTACGCACTAGTGTTTTTCGTACGAGATTCATGTAAAAGCATGTTATCAATTACCCATCAAACAAAAGTATATTTGCCAAATTATGCAAACGGTTAGATATCCTCTAGATTTTCCAGGTAAATTAGTATTCACAACTCAAAGCTTTCGGTATAAAATTTGGTGGCGAGCTGTGTAGGAAGATTGTATGAACATCTACACGTATTGAAACAACAAATTGTTTGTTATCAGTCTTTCTTTATCTTTTCATTTTTCTAACTTTTCTTCAGTCATTCCTTTACATTGTCAGGTTCTTTGACAATATAATGTTTTTATCAAGATTATTAAACCTAACGGGTCATCCCAGTACACTAACGGCCCAGTAGGCATTAACAATAGACCCTCAGATCACTATACAACAATTTTGTAAGCTGTCGTTCTCGTAGCTTGGCAGCTTGCAGCCTTTACTTTAAGCTTTCTTTGTGAAAATATGATTATGTCTGACAGTAATCTATTCAAAGATGTAGGATTTAGATCATTTGCAACATTATGTGTCTGTTTTGATTTGTGCAGATATTGACGAATGTAGTTCAGCAGACATGAATGCATGTAGTCAGAATTGTACCAATACTGCCGGTTCATACGATTGTTCCTGTACAGCAGGATATGACCTTCATCATGATGGCACAACGTGTACCGGTAAGTAATGTACAGGACAAGTCCAAGCTAGACCTATTTGGTAACGTTACCAACTCATGTCATCTGATCTAAGCTTTAGTAGGACTATTAACATATTGCCAATAATCAGATATGGTCGTCATTGACACTAAATGCATTCACATACGCATGATGAAAGTAACTAAAGATACCCATAGTAAACCCAAGCAAAGGCAATGTATTTTCTTTTCATGGTCAGTGCTTATAGTCATCCATGATTGAGCAATAACTGATCAATAAGAACAATTACAGGTTACCTGTCATAAGGGATATTCTAGCCTTAGTGTATATAGGGGCATGAATCAGAAATTCCTTGTTTATGTACACTGTATAGTCATAACAGAGACTTGACTGCTTTGAATTTGTATTCATTAAAAAAACTGCAAAATAAAAGGTGCATGTAATAATTATGTATGTTATATATATGGAAGTTTTTTTTTAAATCAAATTTTCAAATGTTACATAACACCCAGACTGTTGACCTGGTGTGCGAAAACTTGGTATCAAAAGATGCGCAAGACTAGAAGGGAAAAAATCATGAAGTGGCACCGTAAAAATGGATGTATTACTATCAAACTCAGGACATGTATATCTCTTGCAGAGTCAATGGACTGACTACATGCTAGAGTCATGATGTTAAAGATATAAGCGTCATAAATGTATATTAAAAAATAGCTTGTAATCACGATTCTGAGAACCTATTAATGGATTACAATCAAACTTGAATTTCAAAGACTTGCTTCTGTTTTGTTTTGTAAAGTCGCTCCATGCCAGAGGCATCATTTTTTAAGTTCCATCTAGTTTAACTTCTAACCTGCATGGCATGTTTTTCTTTCATGTTTGACTACTAGATATCAACGAATGCCTGTTTACTGATGACTGTACTCACATCTGTAACAACACCATCGGTGCTTATTTATGCTCATGTTACCCGGGCTATTCTTTGCATGTTAATGGATTTACATGTATAGGTGAGCCTAATACAATTGATTATGGAATGCTAGTGTTAACCCTTTTCTTGATTAGTTAGTAATAACTAAATTCATGCCTATATATAATTTCTATTCTCTAGAGTTCCATGAGACATTGTATATATATCATTACTAGGACATTACTATTATTAATATTGTTTTTATTTTATCATGATTATTATTATTATTATTGACATATTATCATTAGTAGTAGTAATAGTAGACGTGGCAGTAGTAGTAGTAATAGTAGTAGGAGTAGTAGTATCATTATTATCACCTATTACATGTTTTGCTTCTGCTACTACTTCTACTGCTACAAATACATCATTAAGAATTAATGTATGTATGATTGCTTGATGTTTTGTCACATGATAATCATAATCTACATAAAACGCAACCATTATTCTCTTATTTCTCATTATATCTCTAGATATAGATGAATGTGCATCGTCACCATGTTATGAAGATCGAACCTGGACTTGTATCAACCTGGAGAACGCCTATGATTGTCTCTGTAATTCAGGATGGCAGGGCATAAATTGTGAACTTGGTAAGTTTTGTCCAGATGGAGCTACAGCCGTAACAGAAGTATTAAAGGGATTGGGCAACTCTGTCTCAGATTCTGAAACAAAATTCTGGATTAAGCTCATGCTGCAATGATAATTATAAACCTGTAGGTCAGTCAGGAACCCTGTGACTTTTACAAGCATGTCTGATTATGAAGATATTTATGATTGGAATTTGAAATTAAAATTTTGCGTTTTCCTAACGGTTTTCATATCACTACAGTCTATTGGGTAAAACAATTATGGTAAAACCAGTCACTCAAAGATTTTTTACTTTTTAGAGGCACTTCTTGATCATTTTGAAGCGCAACTTTTTTAAGGCTTCAATATTACACCATATCACAGACACTGATAACAGGTAGGGCCGTGCATCTCAGATTTAACATTGTTAAACAATGTCTTTAAGAAATTCACCTTAACAACATAAACCATTTAGCCTAATTAACCTGTGTGGCATATCAGGTTATAAACATGTACTTTAAAAGTGTTCCGTGATGAAAACAAACTATTACAAAAATAGAAATAAGTGATAATCTTGAATATCATATGTTTGAAATACAATGCTGATGATTTTTTTTTCTTCAATTGTATTATAATATTTCCATTGACTTGAAACCAGAGGCAGAAGCATATGCCACCCTATTTCACCCCCTCCCTGATTAGATACACCACTAAATTCAGACATAGGCTAGGCAAACAAAAAGCAAAGGGCAGATCTAAAGGATCAAGGGGGTACAGCATGTCTGCCAACATTTGAAAATAAGAATTAGGAATTTTTAGCACGGTATGCCTTCAAAAATAAGAAATCGCACTCGCAGTGGCAGTGTAACTGGCAATACGCGGTAAAACTGTACCAAAAAGCGAATACAAATTCACTGCTCAATCATGCAACCATTTAACGTACGCAATACATGAACTCTCAAATTGCAGCACATGATAAAACAAGCTTAATTTGGCCTTAGCACTCCCCCCCCCCCAAAAAAAAAAAAAAAAAAAATCATAATTTTGAAAAATCAGAATATTCAGAATTTTCAGGTCATAAAAATCCAGAAAATCAGAATATTCCGGATTATTCAGAAGGGTTGGCAGGTATGGTACAGGCACCATTTTCTATTGTGTCAGACTTGATCGAAATAGGAACTGCCCCTCATATAGGTTTAAACATAATATCACTCGTTCCACTTCTTTTGTTTTTTTGTTCTTGTCGTTATTGTTGCTACTGGCATTTTCCTGTTGTTGCTGTTATTGTTACTGCTGCTGTTTCTCTGGTGAGTTATGTTGTTGTTGCTGCTGCCGCTATTGTTTTCTAACCATCTAAAAATTGTCTATACAGACTCAGACGAGTGTCAAGAAGGAGCTCCATGTAACCATACTTGCACCAACTCACCGGGTAGCTTTGTGTGTTCCTGTAACCCAGGATACTATCTTGACTTAGATGGAGTTTCGTGCCGTGGTAAGATCTTAGCATCATGATTGTTAGTCCTACAGCAAATTGGTCCTGTGTTTCTTTGGCCCAGTGCACATGGTGTAACATATAGTTAACCACTTTTATATCTTCCAAGTACTTTCTTTCTCTTCGTTTTTCTTGATTTATCTTTATTCTCTCTTTCTCTCTCTTCTTAATCTATATTATTCTTTCTCTCTCTTTCTCTTTCTTGCCTTTCTTCCGCACTTATGGTTCTGACTTTCTATCTTTACCTCAATCCATCTACTAATTACTCTCATTCTTTTCCTTTTATATGTTTTTCTTTAGTTTTCTTTGTTTTGCCCTAGTTTCCTTCTTTCTCTTTCACTTCTTCTCTCTCTTCTGATGATACGATGATACGATTCTGAAAGTTTTTGTGCCAAGACATATGTTTATCATTTTTATACAACCAAATTGTAAATTGCAGTGTCACTACATCAGTAGGTACCAGCAACATCATGTTGTAGTTCACTTTTCGGCTTAAGCAATAACCTTACCCTATTTTAACTGGGCTATTTCAGACTGGGTTTTTACTGGGGTTTTTACCGGTCAATTTGACCCCCCCCCCCCCTAATATCTTGGTTGTTTCACTACCGATCGCCGCGGAAATTTGCAAATATGTCAAGTGAAGTGTATAGAATACTATGGTAATTTCATTTTTTGAAAAATTTACTCATTTGCATATGTATGGTAATTTATTCAAATAAGGTCATAAAATTCACATTTTTGCCCATAAATCAGACATTATTCATATTTAAGCATTCTTTTTCACTACATATATTTGTTAGACCATTTGGAATAATAATACAACACAAAAAAATTGGAAGAGCCGGGTTATTCCTTATGTTATCTATTTTTTTGATAATTTCTTATGTATTTCATTGTTTTTTTAACTTACAGGTATGTATTTTATTTCATTTATAACTACAATTCAACTATTTTGACCCCAAAACAAACACCTAAACTTTTTAAACAAGACTAAATAACCAATGTTTTATCTCTTTTTAGGAAAGATGATAGTTCCATATGTTTTGTACACAAATCACAAAATAGGCGATTTTCGGGCTGACATGCAAACACAAAAGGTCATGTGACTTTGTAACTATACGTTCGATTAAAAAAAAAAAACGTTAAAAAAAATGCGTAAGACTCGAAAGGAAAAAGTCATGAAAGGAAAATTGTATATCTGCCGCGGTTTCGGAGTTGTCGCAAAATTCCTACAGGGGAGAGGGGGGGTCAAATTGACCCCCCCTCCCCCCAGTTAACATAGGGTTAAACAAGGTAAACCACCCTTTGTTGTTTTTACCTTAAAGGTAACATCTAAGAGGAGTTGGGGATGTGCCCAGCCATCGGCTATCTTGGCGTTGTTTCACAAAACTGCTACAAACGTGTGTTTATTTTGTTAGGCGCGTTTTAAAGAAATATCAGCGAACTTGTAGGCCTACAGATGACAGTTTTGTGAAATGAATATCTTGTAAAAATCAGTGCAAATAAATGAAAGTCATCAAAATAGTTTACATGTACTTGATTGAATTACTTCACAGATGTTGATGAATGTTCTTCAAACCAATGCCTAAACGGTGCAGAGTGTAACAACCTCCTGAACGCCTTCTCTTGTGATTGCCCTCCAGGATGGGAGGGCCATACCTGTGAAACAGGTATTGTTTGTTTGTTTTGATCATTTGTGTGTTTGTGTATTCATTTATTCTGTAATAAGGAACATGCAGTGAAGAATACATAAAGAAGAGTAATTTGATGTAGAAATACGCCCGATAGTCCATATATATAAATACAAACACATATATAACTTTTTGTTCTTATATCTACTCAATACCAAGAGACATCACTCTTTGATTTGTGAGTCAAATTGTCTGCCAATGTTTTATTCTGCATCACTAGTTATACATAGACACTGGTCACGATATAAACAAGTAACATAATATTACTTACTGTAAAGGGCATATTACATCTGACTGTGAAATGTGGTTAATCCATTGGAGTAGATACTGGATGGAAAATAAAGAAATAAATAAAATAAAGAAATTAATAAGTACCTCAAGTAATTTTGTTAAAATCCCATTTCTCAAATAGATATTGACGAATGTTATTCCGGCCCGTGTTTGAATGAAGGAACATGCATTGATCACCTAAACTCGTTCACCTGTAATTGCACTGAGGGATGGTTTGGCACCTATTGTCAGAGTGGTAAGTTTTGCAGACTTTGAGTGACAGTTTGGCGTAAGCTACGTCTAGAACAATAATTTCATTGCTTTCGTTTCTGGCTATCAAATGATAAGCACTAGAAGGATTGTCTTGGATAATGATGGAGGTAACCTATTGCAAACTGGAATTGGAATAAGAATATGGATATTTGGGAGTCGTTTGTACAAGTGCTATCTTAGAAGAGACTTATTATGTCCAAGGGACTTGGTAATTTAGGATTATTGCTCTATCAAAGGGCGAAAGCCATTCACTTGGCTTCGAACCAAGGACCTTCTTGTTTGGAGTCAATTAGAGATCACTGCTCTACCACTGAACCAATGTATTTTTCTCAATAGGCTACTGTGCGTTGAATCCTTGTCTCAATGGAGGTACCTGCATACCAGCAGAACAACAGTGTGCGTGCACATCGCTCTACGCGGGAACAACATGCAACATTGACCAAACACAAGATGGTATGAGCTCCATATGTTCTAAACTAAATAATGCCTGTTTGCCAAATACAAATCATATCAGATTTCAAACATCTCTTTTCTGTTATTGAAATATCTGCAGGATTTGTTGGGGCAATTGTGGGTCCATTTGTATCAACTACAGTCAAACCCGCTTTTAATAGTGACCACCTGTCTACAAAGACCACATTTTCCCCCCTTGAAAACAGTTTCTCATTGAAACATGTACTAAAGGAACCTGTCTACAAACACCACATGTCTACAAAGACCACTCTTTTTGTTTCCCTTGGGCGGTCACTATAGACAGGTTTGACTGTATATCAGAACAGGTTTTTAAGTCAAAACCACCACTTACATAGAATAATTGTTGTTATGACTTTGTGTCATGCCTAGGCTATGGATCAATTTATTCATGTTCCAATATCTAACAGCAAAATTTGTTTTCTTTGAGTATAATAATAATAATATATTATATTTATATAGCGCTTATTACAATGTTTCTAAGCGCTTTACAAAGTTGTACTTAGATAATAATACATTCAATAACTATAATTAATATATACTAATCAACCTAAAATTAATTCAAAATACATACATAAGCACAGATACATCTAGTCAATACATATAGATACAATAGAATACAATTAATTTTAGGGCGAAACATTACAAATTCAAATTAAGGCAATTACATTACATCTAACGTGCAAAACACATTAAAGCTACAGACTAACAGGAAGGATTAACAGGGAGAATTAAAAAGGAATGTCTTAAGGGAGGATTTAAAAGAATCTGGAGATTCCAAAAGCTGCTGCTCGAGACTTCGAACGTATGTGGTCAGCCATGGTGAGATTCTTATCAAGAATAACACCGAGATCACGAGAGGCCTGAACACATGCGATAGACGTTCCATCGCCAATCTGCAGTACAGGGAGAATCCGAGCACCTCTGAACCTGGAGAATACATGGATGACCTCAGTCTTAGAGTCATTGAGTTGAAGATTGTTCTGTAGTGACCATTCCTTAACATCTGCTATACACTGCTGTATCTTTTGAAGTCCGACGTCATGTTCCTCGGGTCTGATGACAGCGTACAACTGCGTGTCATTTGCGTACATGGTATTGATGGGCATTGATGACTTGCGATAGAGGGCCAGTGTACAGTACAAACGCCAAAGGACCAATGACCGATCCCTGAGGAATACCCTGGGAGAGAGGAAAAGACTTGGAAACAGCATAGTTAACTACGATCTTCTGTCTCCGATTTTTTAGATAGGAGAGCAAAACAAATTGTTTATTCATTATTTCTAAAGTGTCATAATTTTACAATGAGAGAGTGCATGAAAAAGGTAATCAGCATTGACAAAATAACAAATAGTTATCAATTAGTTTTTTTATAAACTTTTGAGACGATTGATTCATTATTCTACTAGACAATCTTGGAAAAATATAATAATCTTAAAACAATAATCTATATGTTATTTTTTAGATCTGTAATAGGAATTAGAATTGTGTTTGAGCATACACACATGATTGCAAGCAACATACTGATTACAAATTTGTTGAGATAATGCTTAAATACTTAGATCATTAATTGGGAACATGTGAATGTGGTTACAGCTAAATAGTGCCCCAAAAAAGCATTTGAACTAATTTCTAGTAACAAAAACGCAGTTTGTTGGTTTGTTGGAACAACTCACTAAAGTCATCGTTAGATTTGTATAAAGAAAAATGTCGTGATTAATGGTAATGAAATTTCTTTCTTCATCCTTACTAGGTGTGTCGACCGTTACCACTCATCCTAGAAATAAAACTGTACGTATATCAGAGATGGTAGTATTAAACTGTGAGTTCCAAAATGTTCAGCACTTTGACTGGTGGAGAGATGGGAAAAAGGTGCCTGACACCCGTGATATATCTAACTATGTCATTGATGAGATGAGCCCCCCTGATCAGGCGTACTATAGCTGTGTCGGTATCACAGAAAATGGACCTCGTACTGAAAGCAACCAAGCACTGCTAAGAATCAGAGGTTATTATTTCATTCATTTATTTTTTGGGAAGACAAGACAAGTACATCTTTATCTTCGAATACCCTCGTAGGAGACCTGCACCAAATGCTATTACCCTAATGACAAAAGATTTTTACCTGGGACTATCTATTGAAAATATGTGATTGTAGTGCAGGGTATTGTGTATCCAACCAAGGGGATACTTTATGTACCTACAAAGTAGTAGTATACAAATAACTCACGACCCAGCATGCGTTGGTGTAAATGCATAGCAAGCGAGGTTTCTTTAGATTGGTACCACTTCTGTGCATGAGCCGAGTTCACAGTGTGCTCCATCTGAAGATAACGAGTGTGCACTGCATTTTCATTATGCACAACAGGGTTAAGTGCGTTATTTGTTTCATACAGTAGGCATTAAAATCAAAACAAACAAAAGACTTGATTAACGCAAGAGTCTAGGCCTACGAGAGTTATGTCAGTTCTAGAAAAAAGATAATTAGACCTTGCTACTTATCCAACAGTCCATGGGATTCCACATTTTGCAAGTAGTCCAGGCTAGCCCCATAGGAAAGGACCCGAACCTTGCTTTTTTATATATACAATGTTTTTTGATGGTTTCTTGTCAATTCGAGGGTGCTGATTCCAAATCCGATGAGTGCCAGACGCGTAACCTTGAGCATTTCCCGTAAACGGCGAAAATTCAAAATGGCCGCCAAAATGGCCGCCAAATCATGAAAAGGCTTATTCTTTGGCCATTTAACAGGATATTTTGTTTTCTTGTCAATATGAGGGTGCTGAATCCAAATCCGATGAGTGCCAGATGCGAAACCTTGAGCATTTCTCGTAAACGGCGAAAATTCAAAATGGCCGCCAAATCATGAAAAGGCTTATTCTTTGCAAATGTTTGGCCATTTAACAGGTTATTATATGTTTTCTTGTCAATTTGAGGGTGCTGAATCCAAATCCGATGAGTGCCAGATGCGAAACCTTGAGCATTTCTCGTAAACGGTGAAAATTCAAAATGGCCGCCAAATCATGAAAAGGCTTATTCTTGGCAAATGTTTGGCCATTTAACAGGTTATTTTATGTTTTCTTGTCAATTTGAGGGTGCTGAATCCAAATCCGATGAGTGCCAGACGCGTAACCTTGAGCATTTCTCCTAAACGGCGAAAATTCAAAATGGCCGTCAAATCATGAAAACGTTTATTCTAAGGACATTTATCATGTTGCTTGATGTTTTGGGGCAATTTGAGGGCGCCGATTCCAAAAACAAAGATTGCCATATGCACCAAATGTGAATCTCACTACACCACTTATTATTACGCAGTTTTTGAATTCTTATCATCATAGTGTACAAATTGTTCACCGTAAGCTCATATAGCTGCAAACAAATAAACTTTCCTTTCTTAGGTTGATTTTCTCCTGTCCAATTATAATGAAAATGGCCGAAAAACCCAACATGTGCAATGATGTATGCCAACTGTATACCGAGTGTGTGCTTTATCTAGATGTTACTCACATAAGTTTAGATGCAATGCTATTGATTCCCAATGTTAGTTTTAATATGGGTAGCTTTACCATGAGCATCGGATGGTTTATTATTCAAGGGTCAACAATTTTGATTTAGCTAAAGACAGAAATCCAGTGCTTCAACTACAGTATACTGGAATACGCGAGTGATAATAACAGCAAATTGTATCTATCCGCGTGGTCCAATAAGTTGTGCTGCTCTAACACCTGCATTTTCGCAGTGGATACCGTTACAGTGAACTCAACAGGCTAGCTAGAAAACAACAAAGTATACGTTGTGCAATGGGAAGGTTATATATGAATAAAATAATGAAAACATGAATATTATAGACAATCATTTACCATTATTGAAGTCTTTTAAGTTTTAAGTCTTAACACCTCTTTAATAACAGCACCGAACAATGTCAAATCGCACTAGTCTTCACAACCGCTAATGTCACTGTCACTCTCTTCTGATGCCTTATTCATTGGATTTTGGCAATGGACATCGCCCTTTATACAGCGGCAGAATTCCGAGCATGCCAGTGAAGATTTCTTGCAGATGCACTTGGCTGTTCTGCAGTTGCTCCTACACCCACACTTAATGTTGAGGACTATTCCGGTGCGACTGGCTGATCATTTTCAAAATATACAGGTTGAATCGTAGACTTCTTCCTCCATCCATTCTTCAATGGGTCTTATTCTAGGCTGGTATAGGGCTGGGGGTACTGGCTTGCCAGCATGCAGCCACACACAACGTAACTTGATAATAGGCACGCTCGTAATCTGGCCAAAAAAAGGCCATAGTTGGTGGAAGACTCATCAATTTGAAAGGGGCTATAGGCGCTTGCCACCAGCCTTCCTTGCGAAAATGATCCTTCACATTGTGTCAAGAGAATCATTTGGTTCTTCTCCTTACATGGATGCCCCGTATGTCAAGCAGGATTATATTACTTCATTGAGAAGGGTTTCAGTATTCCTAAGGGGTATAGAGAATCAGGATAGCTATGGCTCCAAATTCTTCAGTACAGAACCCTGTCCTACTCTGTATTAAACAGGAAACGGTGTCACTTATACCTAATGTATGGGCTCAAAGTAGGTAGGGCATGATTTTCTTGTGTTTCTTGATAACCTCATTAATACCTATGACTGCTCGAGTGTGAGATGTTGATTCCATTACCACCTTTGTTGTGTGTGGTATGCCATTAGTTTGAAAATGTAGATGGTGTGCCAGAATGAACAGAAAATCTGTATCATCGCACACAACTTTGATAGGTGAGTGACCATTCTCAGCCTCCTTTATCACGTGGTAGGCCATTATTACATCTGCTTCATCTTCAAGTGCCCCAACAATAATAATTATTGGATGCGGATCGGGTCCAGTTACGATCAGTCGTTTGCCCTCTTGTGCTAATTGCATGGAACACAACTGATCTACGATCACCTTGATGACTTAATTGTTGCTTGTTTGCAAAAACATTTAGGATGACGTTCTATTTTGGCAGAGGATACTCACTCTTCAGCTATTTTACACGGCTGCAACCTTTAGCACGTGCTGTTCGTTAAAAACGGACTTGATGCTAAACTTATATATCTGTCTAAAACCACATGAATAACTGGTCATCTGTCTGCATATTCATGAATGTTGCTACAGCAACATCTACAAAAGTACACACCTTTGCAGGAGAAGCGGGACACGGAACAATCCAAAGAAGAGCACATCCATCAAGCCTGATATAACATCTGGCACCTGTGCATTCTGTTGACTACCTCAACTTTGCTCCTTGAATTCAAGGCAGACTTACTTGTGGAACGTGCATCACCATTCTTGTCGAACAGTGCGGGTGGATAGGGAGCCAATTCAATAGAAGAAGGTTTTGGTTAAAATTGCTTCCCTTGATGTAGCCATGATCTCTATAACTTGGTCGTAGATCATCCCTGTATTGGCAACTGTAGATACCTCACCTCTTGACGACATATATCAGAAGCCTTTGCCATTCCTTTCACTTTCTTCTTAATTGTGCCATGGAACCCCTTCAGCAACTTTCTTTCGTTCTCATTCATCTGATCAGATCCAATCTTGATTGGATCATCGGCATTTACTGCTGAATCATCCACAACCTTTCCAGTGTAGATGTTCACCAGGCTTGAAGGAGGGTGCTTCTCACTGTTAAATGCATCTAAACAAGTCGATAGCGCCTCACAAATTATCTTTCTGTCAGCCACATCTGATTTGATTCTGTTGAGACGTACATGTACTCTCTCCTTACGGTGACAAGTGACAACTTTCTGATCTTCCCCTTCTTGCATGGCTTCCAAGTCATTCTTCAGTTGTCCAAAGAGGCTGAAAGACAAAACCCAGAGAGCAAGGGTAGAGTCATTCAAAGAGGAAGGTCCCTTTCCATAGCGCATGTACGCCGTTTCAATGTACATATCGGACCAGATGGTGCATCACAAGTCATGTTCTCTATCTGAGAACTGCTTGAGTAATGCTGGTGGAAGCTAGACTTTGCATGGAAAGGAGATAATACAGCCCATAGCGTGCAAAATTTGTATGCCCTGAAGCGAAGAAATAGAGCAATATTTCCTTGACAGTTTGCAGATGGAGAGACCAGTCACCCTCCCTTCCAGTTCTAACAAAATCCCTATAGATGATCATGGGTGTTACAAGACAGTTCATCCACAATTTAGTAGTTTGACTGCCTTGACTGCTGGCTATTTCAAACAACTCGTCGAAGTCAGTGAAGTGGTGGTCTTCCAGTACATATCTCAATATTTCCTCAATGACAAATCGAAGCACCCTGAAATTCTGTGGGAATCTCTTCCCATCAGACAAAAGTTTTTGAACTCTAGCAAAGCGGCCAAATTGAATTTTCGCATTTTGTGAAAAATGCTCAAGGTTTCGCGTCTGGCACTCATCGGATTTGGATTCAGCACCCTCATATTGACAAGAAATCATAAAATAACCTGTTAAATGGTCAAACATTTGCAAAGAATAAGCCTTTTCATGATTTGGCGGCCATTTTGGCAGCCATTTTGAATTTTTGCCGTTTACGAGAAATGCTCAAGGTTTCGCGTCTGTTAAAATCTGTTAAAAGGCCAAACATTCGCAAAGAATAAGCCTTTTCATGATTTGGCGGCCATTTTGGGGGCCATTTTAAATTTTCGCCGTTTACGAGAAATGCATAAGGTTTCGCATCTGGCACTCATCGGATTTGGATTCAGCACCCTCAAATTGACAAGAAAACATAAAATAACCTGTTAAATGGCCAAACATTTGAAAAGAATAAGCCTTTTCATGATTTGGCGGCCATTTTGGCGGCCATTTTGAATTTTCGCCATTTACGGGAAATGCATGAGGTTTCGCATCTGGCACTCATCGGATTTGGATTCAGCACCCTCAAATTGACAAGAAAACATAAAATAACCTGTTAAATGGCCAAACAATAAGCCTTTTCATGATTTGGCGGCCATTTTGGCGGCCATTTTGAATTTTCGCCGTTTACGAGAAATGCTCAAGGTTTCGCGTCTGGCACTCATCAGATTTGGAATCAGCACCCTCGATTTGACAAGAAACCATCAAAAAACATTGTATATATAACAAAACAAGGTTCCTTGCTCTCTAGCCTGGACTAAAGCTGGGATTCCATATTCCGCAAGCTGAAATTCCTTCATTAAATCCATCCTATTATATTAGGCCTAAGTCCAAGGCAAAAGTAAACAAAAACAAATTTACAGTGGAGTTTGAATGCATTTACTACAGTGGAGTTTGATGCAAAAATTTACAAATGTCAACGTTGCATCCATGTAAATGTTTGTGGATGCTTTGATGAATTTGCGATGAGCTGATTCCGATAATGGCTTGAGTTGAGGCTGCAAAGATGGACCAGGAACATCGCTGTATAAAGGCTTAAAACCACAGTTTCTTGAACTATATAATGCCATACATGTACCTGCCAACATTTTAAAATAGGAATTAGGAATTTTTAGCTCGGTATGCCTTCTTACGGTATGTAAGAAATTGCACTTGCAGCGGCAGTGTACCTGCAATACGCCGTAAACCTGTACCAAAAAGCGAATACAAATTTGCTGCCCGATCATGCAGCCATTCAATGCACACAATACGTGAACTATCAAATCGGGGCACATGATAAAACAAACTTAAGTTGGCTTAAGCAACAACAACAACAACAACAAAATAAAACTCGAAATTTTGAAAAAAAACAGAATATTTTGGATTTTCAGGTCCTAGAAATCCTGAAAATCAGAATAATCCATATTATTTGTGAAGGTTGGCAGGTATGTAGTGCTGGTCTCTATATGAATGTTACAGACCTGGGACTCGTTTCACAAAGCCTTCTCTCAATGACAAATGACAAAAATCAGTCTGTCCTATAATCTCACATATTATTTCGTCTGTCATCCCTCTCGCCTCCCAATACCAACAAATAACACAATACACTGCAATTATTGTGGAATAGCCTGACAACGACTACTGGGAGCCGGCCGTTTATTTAGTATGAATGTTTCACAAACATTTCTTCTCGTTTCCTTCACTGGAAACCGGACCATTCATGGTCCAGGATAAAAAACCAGAGATAAAACTCAATGAGCATAAAAACTCTGGAAAACCTTATTCAAAAACAGCCATGTCTTAACATAACATGACACAACGCACTTTTATCGCAAATAAAAGTTGTTCCGTCGAAAGATCAAGTTAGAATGATTCAATTACATACTAATTGATGCCACGCCCTGGTCTCCGTGGCAGAAATAGCTCGGACACCTGTACGAGCTGCCTATGCAAATTACATTCCATCGGGGCATGGCCCCAGATCCAACATACTATGCATTCATTAACGATACAAACAACATTTGTCTGCTATACAAACGTACCGCAGACAAATAATAGTAACGAATCTGCTGATAACCAATCAGAAGCAAGGATTTTAGTAGCTTATAACAAAAACTGTCATTTGTCACTGATGACAAGTTTTGTGAAACGCCCCCTGGCCTCACGTTCAGAACTTGAGCAACTCGCAATTTCAGCTACAACTCCGCAAACATTTCCATGGATGCAACTCTTTAAAAATTTATGCAAGATGTTTCTCCCGCCATACGCTGGAATGGAGCGTACAAAGTTACTTTTCGTTGGGCATTTTTTTGCACTCCTGTACGAACTGCACAAAAAAATTGCATGTCATGTGATGCGTTTTGACCAATCACGATGCATAAAATACTAGAGCTATTTTACAATGTTATTCAAGGAATAAATTCCTACCATTGATTACCAATACACTTTGGTGAAGAGTGGCTAATGTAAATTAATGGACATTAGTGCCGAGGAGGGACTAGAACCGCGAACCAAGTGATCCACAGTCCGGTGACGTATCCACTGGTCAATACCACGTCTATATGTATATCGAACAACACATATCTACTGAAAGTATGCAACATTGGATCATGGCAATATTCCATCTGCAACACTACTTTAGGGGGAAATATATTGAATTTAGGCTAATGGGAATTTAAATTCATTTCTCAAAATATGTTTCAAGTGAAAATGGTGTAATAACTTTTGTGAAACATATGTTTTAAATAGTAAGTATGATTGTTTTTTTTTGTATTTTTTAAAATACAGATATGTCTATTTTTCATCTGAAGTTCAAGCTTGTAGAAAATTTCACGTCAATTTATGCTGATCAAGAATCTTCAGATTACAAGTCCCTTGTGCGTGCTATTAAAGAAAAGGTAAGAGGATGGTAATTTTTAAGTTGTTTGCAATATCTTTGAATTAGAATGATATACATTCTCTTTCACTGTTCCCAGTTTGTCTGAGCTAGGGTAAATCCTTGGTTATTTTTGCAGTAAGAAAAAACTCAGAAAACAATTATCTTCACCTGTTTCTTTCATTGGCATATTTATTGTTTCATTCATTCAATTGTCTAATATGAATTTGATGTGGAAATTTGCGTCGCTCACAGAGATATGAATCTCATGCATTTTATAAATGGAATTACCAAATAATCAGTGATACATCTTGTTGTTTTCTAACTTTTGAATTCCGATATCGCTGCAATTAATAACCATTGTATAATGATATCATGTGTATTTCATAAACATTGGGCAAAAAACATGAAACAAACAAAATTCATTTTGCTACTTTTTTCTTTTTAGTGTTTGTAAGATACAACCAAAACCTATGAAAGACAGTTGCTAGGTAATTTACATTTATCTTACGTAAAAATACAAGACTAGATTAAACATCCATGATATTGTTGGCATCATTTGATATCTAGTTTGAAGCGGTGTTTGAGGCGCTTGAAACCGAGAGTGACACCACTTGCACTATTTACATTCACGTGAATCAACTTCTACCAGATGACGGTGTGTTGGTTGATATGAGAGCTTACATAGCCGACTGTAGCATGACTACACAAGAAGCAATGGACCTGCTGTGGAGCGGATTATTTCACGTGGAGGAAGTTTCTGATGGTTACGTTGACCCTTCCCTCCTTCTGGTACTAAGTACAGGTGAATATTGCTCAGTTGAAATCATTTTTATAGGAGTTCAGTAATTTTCTTATTTCTTAATTTTCTGTATTAATCAGCTAATCCTCTTCAAATTGGCAAGAATGAATCTCGTTTTCCACTCCTTTATAGTTTGGAGATTTTTTTTTTTTTTTTAGATCAACCTATATGAAAGACAATTGCAAAATTTAACAAAAAAATTGCCAAGTTGTACATACTAATAGTGATTTTATATCTCAATATGTGTTACCAATTTATAAACTATAATGATTTAATAGTAACATTTGATTCACTCTCATTGAGGAACTGCACAACGTACTGCCTTGGAAGTAGACTAAACATTTTGATAGACTAAAAATGGTGTCCTGCTATGGGTTGATGCCAAGTAAATACTAAACGATCTAACTACAATCCGATTTCGGAACTGTGTGCTATTGCACTTGGTATGAATATTGGATTGTGTAAAGTCTTAGTGATCGTCATTCTGAATCAGATGAATTAAAGAAAAATTGCAAATTAGAGGGAAAGCCCGGTTTGCAACACCGTTGGACCAGGGATCTGTTTCACAAAGCCTTTTTTCAATGAAAAATGACAAAAATTAGTGAAAAATCTGCTGATAACCAATCAGAAGCAAGGATTTCACTAGCTTATAAAACAAACTGTCATTTGTCACTGATGGCAAGTTTTGTTAAAATTGAGTCAAGGAGTTATTTGCAATCTGAGGCCGAAAATGCTTTTCTGCCAACTACAAGGCAAAAAGACATTAAAATTTCAGTGATTAGGATTCATTATTGAAAACACAGGTCAGGAAGATGATGTGTGTTTAACTCTCCATATCTAAGGTAAACGTGTTTTCTTTAAAAATATTATGGCAGTAGGATCGTCTGGTGTGCAGCAGACTTAACACAGACTTTCAAAAGGAAACCAAGAGCAATTTACATCATATTACATTACTTCTTAAAATGTTCAAGAACTGCAATGACAGATTATGAAATACAAATTCTCTCTCTCTCTCTCTCTCTCTTAGTTCTATGTCCAAACACCTCTTGGTCATCTCCGTATGGTACTGTCCAGTTTTTGTCAGGAGACCTTCATTCTTGGAGTGAATCGAGTGGAGAATGTCCATGGTTCACCGTCAATGGTACAATAAAACAAATATTTTGTATATTCTAGTTAAAGGAATATTTTTTTCTTTAAACTTTAGATAGTTAACTTTACATGAGAAAGCAAACTCATGAATGTCAAGATTATTACCAACTGGAAAGTTCTTTGATAAAACATGATAATCATAATACAACAGCAGTAGTAGGATTAGCAATAATAATAATGATAGCAATAGTATTTATAACAGTGATAAGAACAAAGAGGAACATGAAGAAGAAAATATTGATAATAATAATGATAATAATAACAATATTTTTACCCCAAGAAACTTTGTCAGCATCGTGTGGTCCTTCCTGGGGGCCCTGCAACCAGTATCACCCCAGGAACTGCCAGGCACCCATTTACACCTGGGTGGAGGGTAGCAATTATTGATATACATCTTGCAAAAGGACATTAGTGTCGAACTCTGATTCGAACCCTCAACCCTGATATTGAGATTCAAAAGAACAAACCACTATACCCCCAACATCTCCACACAATATGCCTTGGTTATAAGAGACCGATATTATATTTATTCTGAACTTTGGTTTTTGCATATATATTAAGATGGAGAGTCATTAGCACGAGCCGTCTGCTACGGTGATTACATCTCTCCTTGTGCATGGGTACCGTCAGACAACTGCGGTGGCAATAAAACAGCTGACCAACTCTTAATCTACTTACGAGAGGTAAACTTGATCTTATTCTAGTCTGTTATAGAGTTCCTGGTATTGTGCAAAGTAAATACATGATCAGCTGGCCCTGTGCATCTAAGGTGCACATGAATCTTACTGTGGAATGTTCTTAACCCTAAAATGCTTGAAAATTATATTTATCCACACAATAAACAAACTTAAGATTGGAAGTTAAATAAAAGATAAATTTGACTAATCTATTCTAGAAGAAAAAAAACATCTAGTTTGTAATAGTCTCTTACTTTTTAGTAATAATATTATTATTTTGGTAATTAATAGTGATAATAGTAGTATTGCATGTGTTAATCATTATTATTAGGTGATCTGCAGCATGGCAGAGTACCTATTGATTTCGTCAGAATCTACCTTTTTTCTTTTCTTCTTTCTGTAGGGATTTTTTATACATATCTCGTGAAGGACACGGTTAATGACAATGACACTACCATACAACTTTCTTCCTCTTCTCTTTGCTTTCGCCTACATATTAAAATATTTTATACATTTACTTGGTTTTATCGTAAATCTAAACATGCAGTCTAGCCTTTTGGCTAGACTGGTGAATTTGGTGAATGCCTCTTGGTTGTTACTAGTCAAGATCTCCATCGATATATTATCTCTTTTACGATTCTTCTCCCCATTCTTTTGCTGCTCTGTACGATCCAACATATTTGCAGGATAAATACAAATAGACATGTTATTTGTTGTTTGTTCGCCTCCGTCTTCTGTTTGAATTTGTTTGTGCTTAAATTTCCTTCACATATAGGCTGATTTGTTAAAAGTCATATCAAATTAAACTTGATTGAGGAAAATATTTGTATTTACTCTAGAATAAAATTTGATAACCAGTCATTTAAACCTGTTGATTTTGTTGATAGAATCCGATGACTGCTGAAAGAAACACCCAGGACATCCTGTCAGTGTTGACTGTGATCTCCCAAGACACAAATATTAGTTCTGCCGTTGTCAATGCTGCATTTGACATCCTTCACCAGATAGGGTCAATTTCTCAACCAACGCAAGAGGTAATTTGATCGATTGAACAATAATAATAATAAATAATAATAGTGGGTTCTTGTATAGCACTCATGTCAGTCAGACTTGACACTCCTGGTGCTCCTGATTATTACCCTGGCATTAGCACGGCTGCCATTACGGCGCGCTGGCATTTCAAGGAATAAATTCCTGCCAGGTACCCATTTACATCACTTGGGTTGAGTGTGGCAAATGTACATGAACGTCTTGCCAAAGGACATTAGTGCTGTGGCGGGACTCGAACAGCGGACCTTGTGATCGACAGTCCGGCGAGGTATCCACTCGACCACCACACCTCTAAGTATTCATTGATTTGATGAAAGATCACCCAATTGAAAAAATTACTGAATTTCATTATTTGTATCCCTCTTGGTATTTTTGTAATATTAATAATATATTTATATACAGTGAAGTGCTAATAAAGATATTATGTCCCTTTTGCAGCCAACATCAAATTCTGTAGAACTTTGCAGGAATTATGAATCTGTGAAATTTAAACATTAGCAGTGTCCTAGCATTCAAATTATGCAATGAAACCCGTTTACCTTCTAGACTTCACTGTCAGACACTATTGAGTGACGGACTGACATCATTTTTTTCTTTGCATGGTAATAACATATGTAAAATGAGCTGTAAAGGCATGAGCATTTGTCAACATCAATAACCCACTACTTGTAATGGCCGAAATTAAACTAATTGAATCTTTATGCAGCACATTATTATTAATATTATTATTTATATCATGATTATTTTTATGATTATCATTAATATCATCATTATGATTATCATTGTCATATATCATCATCATCATTATCATTATCATTAATAGGGCCTATTATCACCATCATTATCGTTTTTGTTTTTGTTGTTTTATACTAGAATGTTGCCTTAGTCGTTGACATCTTAAGCATCCTGGCCACGTTAGACAAAGGCTTGATCATGGAGGCTGAGATCATGAATGGTGCTGTAAGCAGAGCCACCGAGGCGTTGGAGGAAATCCTTCTAGCCATCAATTTGCCTTTTAGCCAGACCTTGCAGTACGTGGCATCAAACCTTGTGGTACAGGTATGATGATAAACAAACACATCTGGATTTGAATACACTACCGATGTGTGACTTCATACTGGCTCAATTGTTAAGGTTGCTTGTTCTAAACAATTGTGTGCTAAACAGGGGTGTGGTGAATCACCACACCCCTGTTTAGCACAAAATTGTTATACACCAGCCCCAAACACTGAATTTGCCCTGCTCTAGGCCGTTAAATGATTTTGCAGCGAACGTCATGTGCAGGCTCTGTTGTTTAGAACCAGTAACCCAGAGGACAAGGGAATATGACTTGACGTTAGCAATATGGTACTCTTTATAGTGCTTAATATAGAATTAGTGCTGCATGTGTCAGGGATCGAACCTACGACGTTTGCATCTCCTGTCAAGTTCTTAAACCACTTAACTACAACACCTCTATAGGTTCCGGTTTGCTCCAACACTTCGCCCACCATGTGGAAGTGTCATATGGTTTGGTGGTTTATCCACTACTCTCGGTCCAAGAGTTGAGGGTTCGACTCCCATATCATATAACACAGATCTCAGTGAACATGTGCAAGTCCTTTGTTGTGCGCTGTCCTATTCATTTACACTGGGGTTTTTTTGCAGCAGGTTACTGTGCCATATTTGACCAAGCCTTTAATCTAACAATGTATTTCTTTAGGTAATCAACTCTGAGTCTGACGGTGTCCGCGATGGGATTGTCTTCTCCATCATCGGCGATGACAGCCAATCCTTTGATGAAAGTGACGTCCAGGTATCCACCAACAATCTTGGCAAGGGTAACCTAGGTGGTGCTGTCCAAGCAGCCATCGTCATGGGACCAGAGACCATTGATGAAGGCACCAGGGGGAATATAGCGTTTACTGTGTACCGTGACGATGCATTGTTTGTAATGGACGGTCAAGTGGGAAGCAATGATGGGCGTCGTAATATCACGGTCAATACTAATATCATCGGAGCAAGCCTCGGTACGAGTGAAACCACACCTCTGAATGCTCCGGTCACCATAACACTGGCACACAAACAGGTAAGATATAAATCACTTCATGAGCTAGTTTGTAGATTCTACCTGCTTAATGGGTGGATTTCAAGTCATTTGTACATAACTGTAAAACCCACTGAGACGAATATTGGATATGTATTCATTATTTATTCATGCACAATATATTTCATGATACACGAGTGAAAGTGTTATTTTCAAGAGGGCAAAATGTGCACCTCCGTGACTTAATTTGGCAGTGATTATTCTAAAATGCACAAATTGGGGACATCAACATGAATAAAAAATGTTTTGATTGATTGATTTGTATTCATATTCCATGCAAGATTAACAAAAAATAATACATTTTGCAAAAGATAACATTTCTTTAATGTTCAAGTAAAAATCCTGAATCATATTCATCAATGACATGGAATAATGTTCTGTAAATCATCGAATACAGAAATGAAAAGAGAACTCACGTGTAAAACCCGTCTTAATTTGTAGACTCAAAGGAATTACCCGTCTTTTCCCTCAAAACAATGTTATATACTTTCAGCAAACTGGAATGAATCCGCAGTGTGTGTATTGGGAATATTCCACTAATGCTTGGTCAAGCGATGGCTGTGATATGACAAACACTTCCAAGACACATACCGAATGCCAGTGCAATCATCTTACTAACTTTGCAGTCCTAATGGTAAGAACATGAAATAATAATAATAATAATAACACCTATTTGGATTACGACAAAGCAACTTCCATATATGCGTCCACGCTCTCCTAATGCAGGAGAGTGAAAATCCTTATTTTTAAGGAGTCATATTAGGGGTCAATTCCTATGAACTGTAACCAACTACCCCCAAATAGCGATTCAATTATTTTTGATGATTGAATCCACTTGTTTATTACATATAATATCCTACACAAAAGAATGCTCTTTCACGAATTGGTCAAGGATAGCTCATATCGTCGGTGGGGTGACAAATCCTTGTATCTCAATTTTTTGAGATTTTGATTTTTTTGCATAATTTTGTACCTAATGGCCTACGACACCACCTGATAAATCCATGGAACGCCTCCTTCTTGGTTTTTCACAAATTCCACACAAACACCCTTAAACTAAACCTCGTAACTTTAACCCCCTTTGAAACTGCACTGACAAAACCTCGTAACATAAGATACATAATTCCTTTTCCTCGTAACTCACACACGGCCTAACAGTACCGAAGTTAGTGTATTCAAATCCTCGTAACTTATTCAACCAAAACCTCGTAACTCATTCAGAGTTGAAAGTAAGAACTCGTATCTCAATTTGAATACAAACTAAAAACTTGTATCTCAATGTACATAGACGCAAAAACCTTGTAACTCACTTTCAAATATAAAAACAATTATTTTACTGTATTTCAACAATGACATTAAAAATTGTATAAATATTCCAGTTTTAAAATGAAAGGACGATGTCACAGCACTAAATTTGTTGAGACAGGAAAGTTTTTTCGCTCTCCTGAAAATTCATGATTTTTGAGATTTTGTCACCCCACCGACGGTATGATTTTAAATATGAAGGGAAAATGGATATGTGTGATCTCATATGGGGTGTAATAACGTTTACATTCTTATAATGTTTACATTCTTATAATGTTCTGTATGATATCGACTAATGATTAGATTGTGACTGGCACATTGTCGGGTGTTAATATTATGTACTGTTGATTATTCTTGAGAAAATGAAATTGTCAAAGTCTGCAGATAAATCATAAAGATATTTAAAATAACTATATAAATCTATCTCCAATTTGGCTTATTCCATTTTTACAATTTGTTGCTTTCTGTTTCTCACCAGGACATGAGTGGCATCCCCAGACAATCAGAGAGAGTAGAACAAGTGTTTAGGATTCTCAGCTACATAGGATGTTCTTTCTCTATTGTAGGCCTCCTGGTGACCCTGGCTGTCTACATCACTGATAGGTAAGACTCTGAGGAAATCCAACTTCAACAGACTTTAACTCTTTAAGAAAGCAGAAGTATCAGAGAAGTAGGCTGGTGACAAATGTTAACCAAAAAGGAACTCCCCCCCCCCCCCAACAAAACAACAAAAAAAAATCAAAAAAAATTCAAAGGTTGCAATCACTATATAGGCACTTCATATTGACTGAATCAGAGTGCCAGACAACTTTCCCCAATTGTTTCTAAACACAAAATAACTAAGATATCATTTTTCATTCCAAAATGTATGGATCAAGGAGGGTCTTTTCTTGTAAAAGGACCTTTTATAATATGCTATCCTTTATGTATCTTGAGTAGTGCCCTAAGATAGAATACAGAAAATGATGATATTTTTGTTTACAACAAACGACCCTGACTACATCACATTCAAATAGATCAATGTAGTAGTCTCATATTTCATTACTCTCTTTTCATTGGTCTAATATATTTCAAACTTTGCTATTCTGTTTCTCTAATTTATCTGCTTTCGTTCTAATGACCTATACAAAGGTTGGATTGCCTTTAATCTTCCATGTTCCTACCCTTCTTATATCAACACAAGCTCTCAACCCTTAGGGAGACTATAATGGTCTCCCTAGTTAAGTCAGTCTAGCGTTTAACCAAGCTTTGGTTTATCACAGCAGTAATATTACTCTCTTTACACCCACTTTAACTAATCTGATTTTTCTTGTATCAAATACTCAAGATGTATTATGCTTTAAGTTGTTATGGATCTTAGTTAGCTACATGTAGGTCTTGTGTAATTATTTGTTGGTATTCCTTCTTAATGTTTGTTTGAACGTTTGTATAGTTAAAAGCTTAATAAAGGTCTAAACTATCATTTTAAAGAGTACAGATGCTTATTATAGGAGTAGTATCTACGAAAAGTGATGCTTCTCTTGTCAACTTTTACCAGCAATTGCAATGTACTTAGTAGGTTAGCATAGTCAACTCACCTACTCCACTCTGAAATATTTTAATTTGTTCTTACGAAGTTCCTTGACTCTGTTTCTCTTTGCCCCAGGAAACTTCGTTGCTTGCAGCACATCCGGATCTTAATGTGTCTCTGCATCACGCTCCTCCTCCTGTACGTCTTCTTCATAATCATGACAGCACTCGACCGATATCCTGGAGAATCCGAGGTCAGTCCAGGTCTGTGTGGAGTCATCGCCGCCGGCCTCCACTTTACCACGCTCTCATCGATGTCATGGATGGGCGTTGAAGGGATAAACATGTTCCTAATGGTTATCCGTGCCATGGACTCGGATATTCCACTCTTCATGATGAAAGCCTCCATCATTGCATGGGGTAAATTGCTGTTATAACTTGTTTGTCCATAATTCCCAAGGCCTTTTGTCATGCAACTAAGATTTAAGGACTTGCACCATACAAACATTGCTTCTTTAGCATGTCCCTCCCTTCTCAATGTATACATTCAGGTCATCGATGTTATGTTATCATTTTCAGTTCTTCATCAATTCTATTTTGTCTATTTTACAATTTCATTACTTTGTACTTTTTATCATGTTGATATTGAAACAGAAATCAGTCAATCAATCAATGAGTCAAACATTGCTAAATTTGTATCACAGTAGGCCTAAACATCTCTGGTCTCTTTGCATTTCTTTGCTTCCTGGAAAATCATTTCTCATTCTTGTACTTGTTTCTGTTCTTCTTTTTTTTTTAGAGAGTATTAATTAAACATGTGATTTCAATGTATTTGTTTGACAGGATTACCTGCTGCGATAGTGCTCCTAACTGGTGCTATCTCGAGACAGAATTACTTCAACTCCGACTAGTAAGTACTCTCCACGTCATTCTCATCCTATCCAACAAACTTTCATAATCAATTATATTATCCTTCTTTGTTGGAGAATGTGTCTTCATATAATTCCTTTTATGACCATCTGGTTTCATTTCCTGATATGCAGGATATACTTGATTTAAAGTAAATTTAGTGCTCTGCAAAAAATAAAGCTTACAACCCTCAGCTGATGCGGTGACATAAAAAATAAATCTTTCAGATAAAACCCAAACTTGACTAAAAACTACAACTATTGAAATGTATGAAAACAAAGAAATTCTCATCCTATCCAACAAACTTTCATAATCAATTATATTATTCTTCTTTGTTGGAGAATGTGTCTTCATATAATTCCTTTTATGACCATCTGGTTTCATTTCCTGATATGCAGAATTTAGTGCTCTGCAAAAAATAAAGCTTACAACCCTCAGCTGCTGCGGTGACATAAAAAATAAATCTTTCAGATAAAACCCAAACTTTACTAAAAACTACAACTCCATGGAAATCCATGGAAATCGAGCCAATCGTCCAAACCAAAATTGTCAATGAACATGATGTTGTATGTGTATGCATGTCAGTTGTATTTTTTTTTTTTAAAGTTTTCAATAGTTTGATAATGTTTAGTAAGTATAAACAACCGTCGATTAGACATGATAACATTTTTCTTAATCTTGAGATATGATTGTTAATATAGAGGAGTATAGCATAGAATAAAGGCATATAATAAATATGTTCGTCTTGCACTCATCAGAATAAACCAAAATGATATTATCTGATTTTGGTTACTTTCCATCTTCAAGACGAACATCTGTCGTATGTCTTTATGTATCTGCATCCCTTTGCGTGCATGCACCTTACCAGACTTTAGATTTAGCAATTGTCTATCTGATTATTAGGATGATTATTTCCCTTTTCAATTGTACAGCTGTTTTCTTCAGAAATGGCCTCTCGTGGGCGGTCTGCTCATCCCACTGGCCTTCATTCTCGCTCATAACGTGATCATCTTTGCTCTCGTTATGCGTCGTCTCGTGCGCATCAACTCGGATGGCGGGAAAGCTAGCGAGTTGAAATCAGAAGTCCGCCTCGAGATCATGCGCCGTCTCAAAAACGGGATGGGCTTCCTCCTCCTACTTAGTTTGACCTGGCTCGTTGGATACTTCACCGTGATCGAACAACTCAACCTCGCAGTCCACGTGATCTTCATCCTACTCAACTCTCTCCAAGGATTCTTCATCTTTGTTTTCTACGTTCTCCGACAACCGAAAAGCCGTGCGCACTTGCAGGAACACCTGGGATGCTGTTTCCAGGATTTACCCTTGACGACAGATGCAGGTCTGATGAGTATGAAACAGACGACAGTGACAGGAACAGAGAATCCGTATAACGATTCTGTGTTGAGCAAATCTGATAACGATGACAATGTCTCTGAAAAATGTGAGTAATGCATTTTCCTGCACAACTCACATTTCCTTACTATATTCAATTTTAGTAAAGGCCAACTCATCTGTAAAATTCTGAGTTACCACTCTGCTTTGCACAGTTAAATGCAATTTGAACTATTTTTTTTTTTTTTTTTTTTTTTTTTTTACATTCAGTTTCTGAGAAATTGCACTACTTAGAAAGGATAAGGGGCACGTGTCAAAATAAAAAGGGCACTTATCGGAGACAAAAAGTGGCACTTATTGGAGACGAAAAGTGGCACTTATTAAATAAATAAAGGGGATACCTCTCAAATTTGAATAAGGGCACTTATCGGATATGAAAGGGGCACTTTTAAGAATGAAACAAGTGCATACAAAGGAAAAGAGGCACTTGTCAAAATATAAGGGATGCCTCTCATATTTTAAAAGAGGCAATTACAAGAGGTGAAGGTGCATTTATCAGATGGTATAAAGGGGCACTTCTTGTACCTGAAAAGGGTCACTCACGCATCTGCTGCAAACATTAAAGATACTATGTCCCATTCGCAGGCCAAAAAATGGAAAGGTTACATTTCCACTACATTTGAAAGATGATACTAATTTAGAACTTTCCTCAAAATGAAAGGGCTTGAAAATAGCTTTTAATAGGGAAATAACGACCTTTACCTGTTGAATCGAAAAGTTGTACGTTTTGTGCTACACAAAGATTCAATCAGTTTAATTTTGGCCATTACAAGTAGTGGGTTATTGATGTAAACAAATGTTCACGATGTACGTGTTACAGCTCATTTGATGTATGTTATTGCCAAAGAAAAAAAGATGTCATTTAGTCACTCAATAGTGTCTGACAGTGAAGAGGTAAACGTGTTTCCGTGCATAATTTGAATACTAGAACACTGCTAATGTTTACATTTCACAGATAGGAAATCCACGACATATTCATAATTCCTGCAAAGTTCTACATAATTTGATGTTGGCTGCAAAAGGGACATGGTATCTTTGAATATGAAATACTAAGCCTTTGTGTACGTGGTTGATGTTTAGAATAAGTAGCCCTTTGGTTCCTATCTTCTGGTATTCTTATTTTGTTTCCCAAAATGTAACTACAATATTTGCATTCGAAAATTTCTGTCATTAATTTTCTGTTATGTCTGTCAACCTAAAGATAGGTGTTTACTTTCGCTTACTCAGATGTACATGTATCTTATGTTTATATTCATATCATTTTCTGTCATTAGTTGTCTTCTTTAATGTGTGTTTCATACGCATGATTATTAATGCAGATTTGTTATGGTGGTGGATCATTACATTATCGTGTTATACTTTATACAGAATACTTATTATGCATATCTTTGAAATTAGTGTTAACTTTTACTTACCCAGATAGGTTTTTCAACAATTGGGTAAAATTGAGTACATTGGAAACTTGTATGTTTTTTTGGATACATCTGTACCCGATTCGGGTACATCATACCTACATATATTACTAATTTCACCCAACAATCATGCATGTTCGCATAGTTTACCCAATACAGTGCGTATCAAAAAATTGTACCCAATTTGGTAGCTTCTAATTAAAAATTCATATACCTTTAAATCTATTTCATAATGAAGAGTCACTTGTTTTCTGTCCAATGGTACAATATTCATTATATTTCTGCCACGGGTGACTGAGCACCAGGGTCTTTAAAAAGTGTTGTCACAATGGCCTTGTACCAAGTTACGCTGATGGAATGAATGGGGGTAATGCGTGTGTTTCTTTGGTCATAAATCCCTTAAATTATGTCTCCTGCTTCAGTGCTTCATTGTGAAATGATGCAATGCATCCAGGCTTTCACAGAACCTTCTTTCGATCTATAGGTCAACATTTGATTATTTTGAACAGCCTACTAACTTCTTGTCTCATGATATTTAAGTTCTCTCTGTTAACTTGTCAGCTGGGCCAGTCGGAAGAAGCATTATAGCGAATGAAAACTCAAAGGTTACTTAACCCAAATACAAAAAGTACACATGTGATAAGTATCAAAGAATTTGAAAGTAGACTTTCATTAAAAAGTTAACATCCCAACTAAACTAAACTTAATCCATTCTGTATCACTCAATGGGAAGGATTACCTTGAACAAGGGATACTAACACCTTTCCTTTTTAACTGTCTAAAAGTCAATGTAAATAAGTTAGCAATTATTTTTGAAATGCAATAATACACAAAATTGCTTTTTACTCAAAACACTGCTTCAACCAAAACTTTGAAAAGCCTGCCGCTCTGTAATCCATGGTATCACAATATGCTATTATTAGACAGGGTATTAGTTGTAAACCCTTACCATGAAATATGATTCAAGGTTATAACTTTTTAATTAGAAGCTACTAAAGTTAGGTACACTTTGGTGCACGCACTTTTTTAAAGGGCTATAAACACAATTGTGTTAAATACGCTTACTCAGACATGTCAGATGTATATAAATAATAATTGTCATTAGTAAAAGCTAATTTACTGCTAATTAAGCGGTTTATTGTAATCTCTTGAATATTATGTTCGTTTAAAAGTTTATTCCTATTTTCTTGTGGTGGTATGTAGATAAATGTTTCACATGTTTATGTTACTTGATATCATTCAGTTTACGCAGAGTACTTTATAATCATTAATTGATGCATTGTTTTTTTTTAAAGGGCTATAAACACAATTGTGTTAACTTACGCTTACTCAGACATGTCAGATGTATATAAATAATAATTGTCATTAGTAAAAGCTAATTTACTGCTAATTAAGCGGTTTATTGTAATCTCTTGAATATTATGTTCGTTTAAAAGTGTATTCCTATTTTCTTGTGGTGGTATGTAGATAAATGTTTCACATGTTTATGTTACTTGATATCATTCAGTTTACGCAGAGTACTTTATAATCATTAATTGATGCATTGTTGATGCTGGTTTGTCAATATGCATGCATGTACATGGGTCAATCCATAAAGTTGGGGCAAACTGTATGACGGTGTCCATGTAACGTAGGTATGAGGTCTTCTATAAAAATACACATGGAAGATAAAATTATCTGTTGAAGATTTGTATGAAATAAATAAATATAGTAGTGCCCTGCCAGAATCGTTCCTGTTTCAGTTCCCTTTTTTCAAAATCTTTGCGGCTTAATACACACTTCTCCTTTTACCATTGTTCTGAAGATAGTTGGCTATGCTTTTTATGCGAAACTCAATTTGAGCAAACATTGTTATAGTTGATAGGAGACATAGTTTCTCACTTCTGGTATGTCAAAAAAGTGCCCCAAATTTCTGAATGGATCCATATATATGACCTTATATTTTCTTTTATATTTTTCTGAATGCTTAATCTCATGTTATTCTTTATATTCTAAAAAGTAAGTTTGAGAAAATGTCATCAAAATCCAAACAAGAACAATGTGATTTTTGCGAGAAAAGGCGGCTGTGTCATTTTGACGTTACAAGGTAGAAAGATCTGCGCACACATTCAATTTACATTCAGTTGTGGAATGTTTATGTAAAAGAAAGCATGTCTTGGGTTGTGAATAAAATTAGACTATTCTCACTATGTTTTAATTGTTTTTTATTTTTATTTATGTGTATGATTTGTTTTTTTGTTGCATGAATATGTTTAGTATAATAGAGATGAAAGATGTATCTAGAATCATGCAGTTATGCACACATGCAGACGGGGGCGCTGCACAGATTTGGGCACTGTAGAGTCCAGACCGATCTACATTATTTCCTTGATGACTTTTCAGAAAATCAACTCTGACTGTTTCTTTATACATTTTCTAGATATATTACATATCCTACCTCCTTTTAAGCCTAGTAAGAAAAAGGTCACAATTTTCAACAACAAAATATGAAAATATTGAAATCTGATATGTGCATCTTTTCCGTCGACAAGTGCCCCTTTTCATGTCTGGTAAGTGCCCCTTTTCACTTCTGATAAGCGCCCCCTGTACCTCTTATAATATTGTACCTTTTCCAAAATTGGAGGTGCTAGTTGTACTATTCACAAGAAATCCTCTTCCTTTGCAATAAGTGCCCCCTTCCCCTTGTGATAATTAAGTGCTCCTTTTCATCTCTGATGAGTGCCCCTTCTCTTTGTTATTTAAAGCCCCGTCTTCTCATACATACACTTTTTCTTTTTCCTTTCTTAAACATTGTCATATATATATACCTGGGGGGTGTTTCACAAAGATCATAAGTTGAACTTATCTCTAAGTTGGACTTAACAATTATGGAAAGTCATTAGCATCCTTGAAAATATTTTGTAAAAGTTATTTTAAAAGGCATAAAATGTTGATTCAATTCATTCATATTTTCTATCATAATAATAACAATATTAATACTCAGTTTTTATATAGCGCTTTTTAATATTAGAATCACTAAGCGCTTCCAAACTTGGAGATTATTACCCCGGCTTTAGCTGTGCTGTCATTGCGGCGCTCTAGCATTTCAAGGAATTAATTCCTACCAGGTACCCAATTACATCACCTGGGTTGAGTGTGGCAAACGTAGATCATCCTGGGAGATTTCATGTTCTTGATATGGAATTTATGAAAAGTCAAAAATATTTGAATTTTCGCTTTTCAATATATTTAATTTTAAGCCTACAAATGGCTCTCCATAATTTTCAAGTCCAACTTAGAGTTAAGTTTGACTTAGTATCTTTGTGAAACATCCCCTAGGGGTGATAGCGAACACTAACAAAAATACTATTTCTTCCTCAACCACCGCCCCCCTTCCCCCTCTCCTTGATGAAAAAAAGGGATTCAGGGGGAGGGGTGGCATCAAACATTCCCCCCTCCTTTTGAGTAAGAAAATTGGGGAAAACTGGAAAAAATAAGGAAAATAAGGGGGAAATCTGGGAAAAAATAATCATCGGGGAACCAATTTAAATAGAGTAATTATCAGGCCTGATATACCCCTACATTGTGAATCCACTCTCAGTGATGATGGCAATATTTGTTGTCTTATTACATATGGTCAAAGATACTGCTAAAGTATCAAACTTTGCATTTGAGTGTCATTGTCTGAATATTTATTTGCGAGCAAGCAACATTTTTAAGATTTGTGAGATCCCGCAGCAGGGGCGACGTAGCTTCTTCCAAAGTGTGGGGGCACCAACAAAAAAAGGGGCACCTACAGATAGATACCATTTGTAGACATTGATACAAGTTCCAATGCATGTACATGTATATACCCCTACATCCTCATGGTTGAGATGACACTACCATGCAGGGATGACATCAATATTATTTTGTTTCTCTCTTTAACAAGTTTATGTGGTTCAAGACCCTGCATAAGCAACATACTTTGCAGTTGGGTTTGATGGTCTGAATTTTAATTTTCAAGCGAGCGAAGCGAAACAGCTAACAATTTAAGATGTGTGAGGTCGCAGTGCAAAACATTACATCTCAATTCTTAAAAAGAAGACATGAAACAAAACCTGATGAGTTTTAAACACAATCTAATAAAGAAACACTGCAAAGTTCTTTTTATAAGTAACGTAAATATAACAACTTTGGTAAGAATTAAATTAAAGGTGGATGATCATAAAACAAACATTTAATATCGCATCATAACTCACTATTCACTATAAAAAAAAAATCACTCAAGGCACACCATCTATATCCCGCTCCCCACCCCCCCCCCCCCCAAAAAAAAATAAATAAATAAATAAATAAATAAATAAATAAATAATTTATAAAAAAAAATACACACTCTTTTCACAGTAATTTCCGACAGACCAGGAAAAACTTGAGTAAACAAAAACAGTTGAAACGAAATATATCATTCAAATGATACTTACAACCCCACAAACGACTTATATCCCGACACAGCTTCCTCGATTCTGTCCCACCACCTGAACAGAA